GCAAGTATTTGGGTCAGGGACGAGGTGTCATCCTTTACAGAAAATCCTATTACTTTCTCCAATAGGAAGAATACATGACCAAGCCAAGATAATTAACAAAATATGATGGTTTAATGAAAATTATTAATGATTAAATGCAGTGGCGGAGCCAGAGGTTTGTCCAAGGAGGGGCAAACCAAAGACTAAAAATTTTAAAATGCGTGTCCAAAATATAATAAGAACAACAATAGCGTAATAAATTAACAAAAAATTATAGTTCATTACATATTACTTGATTTACTTCTGCAACCTAGGCAAATCAATCCTACGAGTTTTCATATTTTGAAAATGATGCATAATAGCTTCATTATCAATTGCTTGAAAAATGTCTCTTTCGATATAGCAAACCAAGCAATCCGTAAGATAGTCATCTCTCATCTTATTGCGAAGATCTGTCTTGATAATATTCATCGCTGAGAAAGCTCTTTCAACTGTGGTTGTTGCAACTGGTAACACCAGAGCCAACTCAATAAGACGATAGACCAAGTGAAAAGATTTGTGAATTGTAAGCTCAACCATCTTCTTAGACACTTCACCAATACTTTGTTCTTTAGGCTTTGGGCTTGCCTAGGTGGCTTGGGCTTTAGAATTGTTTTTTTTTTTTCATTTTTCTACTTACACCCTTTTTTTTACTTAGTCTTAGACTAGATGCTCATTTGTCTTATTGACTCATTAATCCCCTTTTATTCTATATTTCATTTTTTTTTTACTTTTTCTGAAAAAACTTTTTTATTTATTTTAACACTTCATCTTAAAATAACTTTAAGTTGTACTTATTGTTTTTAAAAAAAGAAGCCGGGGCAAGAAACATATTATAAGTAATACTAGTAAAAAAATTGGTTGGAACGGGGGCACTTGCCCCGCTGCCCCCCCCCCCCCCAGCTCCTCCGCTGGTTAAATGTATGTGTTTGCAAAGGTGACAAGTGAAACGTTGCAACTATGAAGTCTGGAAGTACGTATATACTACGTACGTACATAACACTACACTTTTATGTTTTAGTTATTTTATAGTAAGAGGTTTACATTAAAATTTAAAAGGGAAAAAGTGCAAATAGGCCCATGTACTAATCAAAAAGGTCAAATAAGCCCTTATTTAGGAGGTTCTGTCCTGCCGTCGCCATTTGGGATGGTTCCCGGTGGAGTTTTTTATGAAAATTTTTGAGCATCTTATTCATTATTAAGTCTAGTTTACTCATACCAAATTTCAGCTAAAACTTCAATCAGGAAGGCATTCAAATGAATTCTTGAAAATAACTGCGCAGTTAGAAGCGCAGTTATCTTCAAGAATTCATTTGAATGCCTTCCCGATTGAAGTTTTAGTTGAAATTTGGTATGAGTAAACTAGACTTGACGAATAAGATGCTCAAAAAATTTCATCAAAAAATTCCACTGGGAACCACCCCAAATGTCGACAGATGGACAGAGCCTCCTAAATAAGGGCTTATTTGACCTTTTTTGGTTAGTACATGGGCCTATTTGCACCTTTTCCCAAATTTAAAATAATAAGAACATGCAAAACAATATTCAAGCAATTATAATTAATCTGATCGCAATCACTAGGAATAAATATAAAGTGAGTCACTCGCGAACTTAATCAAGAATTTAATGAATTTATGCAAAATTGATCGCCTCAACCAATTTCAATGTTACTAAAGAGACTCTTAATTTCAATCATAGTTCCAGAAAAGCATAAGCTCCATAGTTCTTAGGTATTGATTTATTTCTTCCATATCTTTTGGACATTAAAATACGCAGTATTTCGTTATTTATTTCAATTCTACTTTTTACTAAGTTTTACGTAATATTTACTTTAAATGTCATCTAATATTTCTTATTTTCCTTCTATTTGATCATTTCTTACTTTGCTTCGACTTTTTATACTACGTACTACTAGTATGTGTTATATACGGTTTGGTCTCGATTCGTACCGTGAACACATCTACTCCTATATGTCCATAAGAATAAGAATACATAGGACAACTACTAAAATATTGAAAGAGTATTATACTAACTGATTAACTATTGCATCACAATATATAGCTTTTAGTACTCATATTTCAAATGAGCTTTTGTCCCAATGTAGTCTGGACCGCCTTGCCACCTCCTAACCCGCCTAGTCGTCTGCCTAGGCGACCGCCTTGCCACGAAATCGGGAATTCCACCCACCGCCTAGCGATTAGGTGGCGCCTGGACCAATTTTTAGAATCATGATCATGTAAATAACAAAAGAAATAAAATTTTCCCCGAATAAGAGTGTATGATTCTATTATGGAAGAAAAACAATAATACTCTTATTTAAGCACATTTGATACGTAGTATGCTTTAACTTTCTTTAGGAAATTTTTTCTTACTATAATTATGAATTTGAATGGAAATGATTTTAATTTAAGCCTAAAGGGTCAAATAGGCCCTTGAACTGACTTAAAGTGTTCAATTAGCCACTTATATAAGAGGTTCTGCCCGGCCGTCGCTAATTGGGGTGATTCCCGGTGGAATTTTTTGATGCAATTTTTTGAGCATCTTCTTCATTAAGTCTAGTTTACCCATACCAAATTTCAGCTAAAAATTCAACCGGGAAGGCAGTCAAATGATTTTCCGAAATGTACTGCGTTGTTTAACTTCACAGTTATCTTCAAAAAATCATTTGACTGCCTTCCCGGTTGAATTTGTAGCTGAAATTTGGTATGAGTAAACTAGGCTTATTAAAGAAGATGCTAAAAAAAATTCATAAAACAATTCCACCGGGAACTGCCCCAATTGGCGATGGCCGGGTAGAACCTCGTATATAAGAGGCTAATTGAACACTTTAAGTCAGTTCAAGGGCCTATTTGACCCTTTAACCTTAATATAATACTACATTACTCCGAATCTAATTAACCAACGTAACCCTTAGGTTCAAAGTGTGCAACTTGCCTAAGAGTCATTCCATTGGTGTGGGAGGTGAGGATTGCGTGGAAGGAAGATAGATAAGTCTAAACGGTACGGGCACTAAAATTATTGGGAAAAGTACAAAAAAAAACGTACCTGTGGTTTGGGCCATTTTCAGATAGGGGCATGTGTTTCATTTTCTAACAAAGTAGGTCATATGTTTCAATTCCGTTATCATAGAAAGGGCATGGCGTCTAACGTCATTAGAAAAATTAACCCCGATTTTAAAAAGTCTCAGAAAAATTAAAAGAAAGATATTGGGAGGTGCGCCTCGTCAAGATCAACAAACTATTTTTATTTTTTTGTTTCCAGCCACCATATCTCTAGAAAGTCCACTAGAAAATTAATATTAGCGAATTTGTTTTTAAAAAATAATCCAAATAGAGCCGGAAAATCCAAAGAGAAAGATAGTTTGTTGATTTCCTTGACGAGACGCACCTCCCAGTATTTTTCTTTTATTTTTTCAGAGACTTTTTTAAATCGGGGTTAATTTTTCTAACGGCGTTAGACGCCATGCCCCTACTATGATAACGGAATTAAAACACATGCCCCACTTTGTTAGAAAATGAAACACATGCCCCTATCTGAAAATGGCTCAAACCACATGTACGTTTTCTGTACTTTTCCCAAAATTATTTTGGAAATGCTAGTGAACGACCGAAAGGTCTGGCTATTTTACTAAAGTTACAAAGTCCCTAAAAGTCGTGATGTAAAGGTTGCTCAGTCTTCTCATTAAATTTCATCGAACACGTAACTTTTCTAATTTATCAAACTTATCAGTCAACATTTTCACCCAACACATAACTTTTGATTTCACGCGCTGAATTGTGTAATAATAACAAAAAATAAAGTTGGAGTTACTTTTCCGACTGTATTGGTTGAAGTTACTGTATTGGATCATTTTAGGATTTTTAGCTATTTTTTAATATAATTTTGATAGCTTCCTGGTGCTTAGAGAGAATAGAGAGCTGAAATATATATATATATATATATATATATATATATATATATATATATATATATATATATATATATATATATATATATATATATATATATATATAGAGAGAGAGAGAGAGAGAGAGAGAGAGAGAGTCAGAGATAGAGAACTTGCAATAAATGATTTTAGAACCCCTACAACTACCCCAAAGATGGATATTTATAAGGAGAATATGGGTTGGGCTCGCGGGCCTTGGGCCTACGAGGTCTGATTACATTAATGGGCCACAAATGGGCCGTTTACAAGCATAAGTGATCCATTAATAGAGTTACTGGAGACGCATAGAATAATGGTTTCGAGGTGCATGGGCACCTCGGTCTTGGTGGTGGACGCACCAACGTGCCCTCCCTCCGAGGGGGTACCTGGGCTGGGCTCTTCAAAGGGGCTTCACGTCTACGGGTCAGTCTTGGGCCGCTTTGGTGTCCAAGAGTATATGGGCTGCGGATGAGGGCCCGTATAATTTTTTCATATTAGGATAGGGGTGGACTCGGGCCGGGCCAACCGGACCGGACCCGGACCGGCCCGCTACTGTGCGGGCCCGGACCGGCCCGGTGAACCGGTTCGGTTCCGGTTCGGGCCTCCCGGCCCGGTGGTATACCGGTCCGGGCCCGGGCCTCCAGTTTAGTGAACCGGCCCGGCCGGGCCGGGCCCGGTTCGGGCCGGAATTTAATTTTTTTTTTTTTTTTGAAATTTTTTTAAGTTTTGGGTTGGATTAGGTATTTTGGGCCATTTGAGGTGGTTTGGGGTGGTTTGGGGTGGAGGGGGGGGGGGGGGGGGTAGGGGGTTAAATAAGAGAAGAAGAAGAAGAAAGAAAGAAAAAACATTCCGGGTGGCCCGGCCCGGCCCGGTTCTGGCCCGGAACCGGAACCGGAACCGCCCACCACCGGTTCGGGCTCGGGCCTCCTTTTTCTGAACCGAGGCCCGGCCGGGCCCAGGCCCGAACCGGAACCGGTCCACCCCTATATTAGGATAATCAGCCAATACAGTCACTTCAGCCAAAACTTCATAAATATCAGGAGAAACAACCGATTCAGCCGATTTCAATGTTACCAAACACGCTATATATAATTTTTTTTGGAAATCCAATAACTTCATTAATTCAAATCATGTCTCGGAACATGAATAATACAATCAGGTGGATTATCAATCCAAATACCGACAGACCCAGAATAGTCTTCCCGTGCTAGAATATGGGCAGCTTGATTTGCTGAATGGTGCACATACTGGACACTTATATTAGCAAACTTAGGCATCATGTGTCTAATATTCTTAAATATAATATCATTACAGTGAATTCTCTCTCCTTTGTGAAGCCCTTTCACAATATGTTGAGCGTCTGATTCCACGATGATCATTTGCCATCCACGCTCCATAGCCCATCGAACAGCTTCCTCTATTGCCAGTGCCTCTGTCGTCCCGGGTGAGAAGTGTCCCCATCTCCTCACGTTCTTCCCAGCTATGAATTCTCCACAACTATTACGAGCAATCAACCCCAATCCTCGCGTGTCTTCCTTGGTTGGTATGGAGGCATTAACATTGATTTTCACAAAGTCCGCTTCTGGAACCTGCCATTTTCCTCTCTGCCCCGGTTTTGTTCTCTCATGTAGCGTGGATTGTTGCGCTTCCCGCCAGCCCTCCAGCATGGCATCGCCAGACGTGATGACTCCCTTCCAGTCCGGGTTTAATTTCTTTCGCACTTTCTCATTACGGGCTTTCCACAAACTCCAGCTAGTCATAGCAAATTGTTCAAACTCAGCTCTCGTACCACGTTCTGCCACCAAACTAGCCCATTCCCCAAAGCTAGCAGCTGCAATCTGAAGGAAATTCCGACCCCTGCTACGCCAAACCGCATTAACCAAGGAACAATCCCGGAGAATATGGAGTGAAGTCTCCTCCTCATTCCCGCATATCGCACATCTCGGCCACACCGGTACCCTTCGTTGAACAAGCCACTGCTTACATGGTAGACAATCAACACAAGCTTGCCAGAAGAAAACCTTCACCATCGGTGGAAGCTCTAAATTCAACATTTTTGTCCAGCCCATCTCCGGTAATACGCTACATATGAGCCTCTAAATTTCACTTCTTTTATTATATTACCATTATTACGTACTACATACATCTTTTATCGATTATAATTGTTTGACTTTTTCACCATTCATGTATTCGAATTTGACCACAATTATTTATTAGTTGTGTAAAAATCATTCGGAGTATTTCGAAAAATAATATTCTTATATTTATCTCAATCTAAAATTTCAAATGGGATCGTTTATAACATTTACTAAAAGTCATACTAGTAGTAACTCTACATGAAAAGCTAAGATTACTCGAACTTCAAACTGAAGAAAGATAGACCTAATAAGACATGTAAAATGCTTGATTAATTTTATTTTATACGGGGCATTATTTTATTTAGAGAAAAGGATCATATAGGCCCTCGAACTTACATAAAAAGGTCAAATAAGCTCTTATATAGGAGGCTCTGTCCGGCCGTCGCCATTTGGAGCGGTTCCCGGTGGAATTTTTTGATGAAATTTTTGGGGCATCTTCTTTATTAAGTCTAGTTTACCCATACCAAATTTCAGCTAAAACTTCAATCGGGAAGGCATTTAAATGAATTTTTGAAGATAACTGCGCAGTTATCTTCAAGACTTCATTTGAATGTCTTCCTGATTGAATTGTTAGCTGATATTTGGTATGAGTAAACTAAACTTAATGAATAAGATGCTCAGAAAAATTTATCAAAAAGTTCCACCGGGAACCGCCCCAAATGACGACGGCCGGACAGAACCTTCTATATATTGAACCTTTTTATGTAAGTTCGAGAGCCTATTTGACCATTTTCCCTTTTATTTATTTAATTAAATGTAATGGTTATTGGTTTTGTACTTTTGTTAGGACAAAAACTCATTAATAAATATTGATCCTATTAAAATTAGAATTCATTACAACAACCACAACATTCCCCAAGTGCCTCAAAGGGAGTCAAAGGCTCCCAACAACATTAGAATTCATTAATAAGATGAAATTTCATTGTGATTGCGATAATGTTTAGAATTTCTTTAACTTTCAATTAATGATTAACTTGCGATATTGTTTAGAACTAGAACTAATCTCATCCTTCATAATTCATACACCTCTTTCAATATTCAAAATTAGACATAACTTCCCAAGCAAAAAAAAAAATCTAGCTTTCTCTTCGCTCTTTAGGAGAGCAAAAATCAAGTAGATACTAAAGGCAGTAAGGGGCAAGGATTAAACACTCAATTAAATATCCATTTAGTTCTTATATTATTCATTATTTTGTCATAATAAAAAAATCTGTTTGGGAAAATTTCAAACTTCTTATACGGTACTTTCTAGGTATATTATATAAATTTCCTAACACTCAGATACGCTGGAGCTGCTCCAGTTATCATGTAGATGTAATTGTGATACTGGTGTAAATATCTCAACTAAAGATGTAGAGATCCATGGCGGAAAGCTTATTAGTGTTGGTCTGTTTGCAACAGTTTCTGCTTTTAAAAAAGTGCTTTTTTAAATGAAATGGGGAGAAGTGATTAAATAAAAGTTGATAGTGTTTGAGAAAAAAGTGATTTTGAAAAGTAAAAGTGGGTAGTGTTTAGTAAAATAAGTACTTTTTGTGTAATAGAAAAAGTAAAATCACTTTTGACGCGAAAGCCGAGAAAAATAAAAGTTGTAGTGTTTGGGAAAATAAGTGCTTTTTTAAAACCAAAAGCTGAGAAGTGTTTTTTTAAAAGCAGTTGCAAACTAACCCTAATTCATTTTGAGGCTACGATGGCCCCTCATCAAGGCAACTTTCAGCCCAATAAATTGATGATATAGTTGCATTGCAAAGGAGTTTATTTTTTGAGGGGATGTTTTTGCTGGTGTTGTAAAATGTCACATTTCCTTGAACTAATCTTGAATGTTAGATCTTACGGAGTACAATTTTATCCACTTTCAGGACTGTACTCATTAGTGTTGTAAAAAAAATTAGGCCTTGAACTTAGGAAAATGGGGAAAGAAAATGGGAGGATGCAGATAAAGGGCAATTTTGGAATAAAAGAAAAATTGCGAACAAAAAGTATGTCACTCATGATATTCTTTTTCTCATCCTCAGCTTACAGAGTTACAGACAGAGTGAGACATTTCTCATTATCTCATAGATAATAAAAAGTTACAGTATGGCAACACATTAGAAAACAAAGATAGAATGATAGATACATTCAGTGAGTAAGGCACCTTTTGGAATCAGGATAATCCTAACGAAATAAATCTATATCTATAAAATAGGGAGCGAAATGACACAATTCATAAAATAAAAAGTAATGAATATAAGTTGGTCACCGAAGGGGTTTGGAGAGCCTTGAAAATGAATTGTTTACATACTATGGGTGACTGGTCATAGGCTTTGTTAACATATTTGTAATGTTCTATTGACTTCTTTCTGTTAGTACTGTACCAGCTCGTTGAAAAAGGAAATTATACCTTCTCTAACAAGCCATGGCCAGTATTGAAAGAAAACTCATCCCAAAGCTTCTTTAGAACTGCCGGAGATATGCTTTGAGCCCATATGTTGTCCAGTGTGTGGCTGTTGGCAAGCTCACTTCTCACGTCTTGTTGACTCTTTTAAAGACTTCAATAAAATCTGACGACAAGATGTATGTTTTGAAGAACTTGCATACAATCATAGGGTTGGGGGTATCTATTTGGGCTGTAGTATGAACCAACATAATGAAGTTGCGGAAACAACTAACAAGAGCAGGTAACAGTTTTATAAAATTTTCCACAACACCAGAGCTTGCAAGTCCTACACCGAAAATATGTAGAGCAATAAGTGGAAAAACCATCCAAACAAACACCAGTATAATTCTTACAAAAAGGGCATACAATGATATAGAGAATTTTCAAAAAAAAGTAGGAAGTTTTCAAAACTGTTAAAAATATCTACTAAATTAGTATAAAATGCTTTTTTTACCCAAAAATGCTAGCAAAACCATCAAACTTCCCAGACTTTAGTGATGGTTTAAACAGAAAAAATAGCAACAAAAGGAAACTTCCTAGATATTGGTGATCGTCATCATCATCATCATCATCATTACCCCAGTGCCGCAAAGGCTCCCACCTACGGTGGGGTAAGGGGGTCGGATGTACGCAGCCTTACCCCTATACTAAAGCACAAAGAGACTGTTTCCGGATGACCCAAGGTGAAAATCGCGTCGAAAATTGGATGCACTGACTGCTGCTTCATAACAAAGAAGCGCAAACAGTTTGGTGAGCCATTTTGCTTTATTCCATCATATTCTCAAGCCAAAGAATACTGAATCTTTGGTTCCATTGCAAATCATGGAAATCTAGATATTGGTGATTGTAATGGAACAATTTTGCCCTTAGACCATACCTTTGATATAAGAAGTATATGTCGTCTTGTTCATATGGACAGATACATAGATCTGCTTATTCTTTAGAAACTGGTTACAAGTGGAAAAGCTTGTACACAAACACCAGTATTATTCTTAGAAAATGGCGTCTAGCAACACCAGGAAACCTCCTAGAAATTGTCGCTGGTCTTAACAGGGAATTTTTTTCCCTTGAAGCATAACTTTGAAATGAGGACCATAAGTTTTTTTATTCATATTAATTGACATATACATATGCCTTCTTATTCAAGAAAATGGTCAAAATGGTACAAGAACTTGTTTCAAGTGGAGTAAGTAGTACTCCATCTTACGCTTAAACTACAAAGTACATGAACTTGCATTTTTAAAGTTGCTCAAGTACATTTGCTCTGTTAAAACATTAAAATGGCTGATCCAACCAAGTTATCAATTTGTAATATATCGTTGCAGTCCAAGTCATCAAATAATTAATCTATAAACTCTAATTTCCTTTAGTTGACTCTTTTCCACCTTCGCTCATCATTTTATATTTCTCATATTTGCTCTCCCTTCTCTCGCAATTCATCTTATATTTCTTTCGTCTTCTCTCCAAGGACGGAGCCAGGGGACTGGGCCGGACCGGAGAAGTACAAAGAATATTTTTGAAAAAAAAACATAAAATTTTTACTTTAAAATTAAAGTGTTTTTTAAATTTGAGGAAGGTCAGGGCCTCGGTTGGCCCCCTCTAGCTCCGCCCGTGTTGCTCTCCTTCTCTTTCGTCTTCCCTCCTTGCTATCTCGTTGGCTTCTTCTTTTATTTGATATCGGTCCATTTTTATTATAGCCAGAGAAGAAGAAAATAAAATAGAGCAAAAAGAAGAAGCCGATAGGAGAAATATAAGATGTAGAGCAGAGAGAAGGGAGAGCAAATGAGAAAAATATAAGATGAAGAGCGAAGGTAAAAACGAGTAGACTGAAGGAAAATAGAATTTATAGATTAATTATTTGATGACTTGGACTGCAACTGTATAATACGCAACGGATAGTTTGGTCAGGTCAGCTATTTTAACATTTGGACAAAGCAAATGTACTTGATTGACTACAAAAAAATAAGTTCAAGTACTTTAAAATTTCAAGATGAAGTACACTTACTCCTATCGATACAACTTCATATACCATTTTGACCATTTTGTCCTTATTCTAAGAGCCTTGTTTTTCCATTTTCAATGTTTTCTTCCACTTGTAACCATATGCACTTTGATATTTATTCACTAAAACACTGCAATCTTTTTAACACCAAACTCTTGTCTTTGCTTTGGCATTTATAGTGAAACACTAGTACATTAAGATTGTTTGCAATAGACCCTATTCACTGTGTTTTTTTAGTGTAGTTACGAAAACTAAACTAATTCTATTCTAATTAAAGAAAATTAGGAGAATATATTTAGATTATGGAGCAGATTTCATTTCTAAGAATTTTTTAGAGTAAATTTTCTAAACTGAGAAGTATCAAGTATGAGAGTCTATTTGTTTGATAGTTATTGTTAGTTTATGCGACTTATCGAAATTAATTAATTTGTCATGCAATTGTCAGGTAAGCCTATGCTAAATTTAATACCCAGACCACCTGGTGAAGAGTATAAGTATTTCTGTCAACAAATAGGCACACAAAACTTACGACAAACATTGTATAAGGTAATCAAAGAAATAATAGAAATTTTATGTTAGTTACTTAGTTCTAGTTTTTCATTTGGATTAAAGAGATTAGTCCATGTTTACCAACATCTATTGACTAAGCTAAGGCATTTTAGCGAACACTTTACAACCATGTCAAAATTCATAACTAAGTGAAGCAGAGATTATTTGAACAACATCGAAATCAAAGGCAGAATATGAGAAGGCAGAAGCCGATGCAGTTTTGTGAATATATTTTAAGCGTACAGATGTGAGATATCAATTACAAATTTACAATACTACTTGAATCTCAAGTAACTCACTATTAATTTAACAGGAAGAAGAACTAATAGGGAATTCATTAGAGACTGGTTAAACATCAGACTTTCAGTTGCAAGTGAATGGAGCTATTGAAAAGAAAATGTAAATAATACCTTGTATGTGGAATGAAATGGTAGCAAAACCAAAGAGGAAGAGAACATTGTCACCATGTCATTTACCCTGAAATATATGAACTGTAGTGGGATGGGGAGTCATCTTACTTTTGAATAACTGCAGCGTGAATAGACACAAAGAAGCCATTAGTGGTTTGTTATCTTGTTAATGGTGCTGTTAGAGAGATTCGGAAAGAAAATAAAATAATAAGTAGATAGTTTTTTGCTTACTTGACTAAAAAGTAGGTTAGCAAATATTGTCTCTTTCAAATGGGCCCTTAGAATCTTAGTCAGAGTCTCTTCTAAGTTGTTCCACCCGAAGCTGCAATGAGAACACTTTCACCAGGGATCGGACTCTGTCCCATTTGGACGTGCTGCTGCTGCTCTTCCAGTTCAGTTTGGGAAAAAAATTCTGATTGAAGAGATGGGGCGATATTGTTCACATGCAGCCATGTCAACTGCCAGAAACTGTCACCTTCTATAAGTTTACTGGGTGACAGAATCCCACTTGTCTTCATGACAAGCAAAATGTTCTTGAGTAGCTCCGGAACAAGTTCAGTGATTTTCCCACTTTTCTTCCCCCGATATTTCACCTTCATACATCTCTCTAAGCAATCCAGAACCGTTAACCATAGTGCCTGGAAAGACGAGTCCATGCGGTAAAGATCCTCAAGACGCTGCAAGAAGACTTTTGACATTAGCTTCAATGACAAAACAATTGATCCTTCAATGCTACTATGATCCTTCAAGGAATTATTACGGTGCACAAGTTCAAGCAGATCATCTGTTAATGTGAATATGAGTTGATTGAAGCAAAGTAACCACAAGTCATTTGGAACACTGATTCCATCAACTTCGGTCAAACATCTTTGTAACATCAAAATTGCATGGTTTCTGACAACTTCTCTAGAATCCAAACACACTTTTCTTATCCCTTGTACCAACCTCAGCCACATCTCCCAAATATCCTGACACATCTTTGATGCGGCATCCCCCTCCAGTGCTTCTTTTGTCTTGTGGGACCACCTCACGAGACAAACAACCGAACCTGCCATTAGATCCAAGGATGTTACAGACCGGTCGACGCTCCCGACCTGGTGCTCAGCAAACTGCCTGGCTGCGTTGATGCAGAGAACGTAGTTTGCTGGTAAGAGGTGACGGGCCCCATCACCAGACATGATGAATGATAGCGTCTCATAACCCACATCTGACGCTTCTGGATGTCGGGACGTGAGCGAGAGCAGCGAAATTATTGTGCGCCACCCCATGTGGGATCGTATCTGTACGGCATTTGCTCTCACGAGACGCATCACTTCCTCCGTGATGTGTGGTAGGTAAGCGTCGGCGACCCGGGCGTCAAGTTTCAACACTAGTTGCAGAGATGTGAGAAGCTCATCGGTCAGGTTCTCTTTATAAGGAAGCAACCGCTGGCATATTCGTAACAATCCAAACACAGCCTTTTCAATTAGAGGACACGGCATTATGGTTGATTGGACTATACTGGCTATATGGTCATAAACACCTTGCCAGAGAAGCATAATCCGGTCCCTGTTGTTTAATGTTATTGCAATTAACAACTCCAGGCAAAAAACAGCAGTCAATTCATCACTTTCCTTTCTCCCTTTAGAAGAAAGCTTTCCTGCAGCCGAAACAAGTGCCTGAACGAGCTGCAATAGTGACTCTGCTTGCAGAAACTTACTGTCAGCAAAGATGTTATCAACGTGACAGCTTTGGATCATCTGCAGCGTCCGTTGACGAGCATCAATCTGTTCCTCACTGGGATCAGCTGCAGCATCTTCAATAATATCCAGAGACAAAAACTGGCTAAACCGGCCCATTAAGCCAGATGATTTCCTATTAGAAGCGGCTAGTGGTGGTATGTTAGATCCTGTAGAGAGAACCGCAGCAGATCTCTTTTTATCCACATCAGTAGACGATGACTCTGGGTCATCATCAGCTGAATCACTGAGGATACGTGAAGGAAGAAGTCCAAACCTGTGCAAGCTTAAAATGCAATCCAAAATGTTCTTCCAACCCAAGTGAATGTGGTCACCATACTCGTTTGCTATGGTAAAGACTGCAGTGGAGGCCATCCTCGCCTTGCTGTCATCACCGTATCTAATAATGAAGTCTTCAGAGTAGGACGGGAGCAACAAGTTGGTGAATTTGCATAGTGACACCACCAAATCATCCAACACTTGATCGAAGTTATATGATGCTGAAATCTTAGCAACAGCCAAGAACCCATCAACACAGGTTTGTAAGATGCCTTCCCCTTCTACATGATCAAACACGACAGAGATGGCAGCAACTATGGGCCCAGATAGTATTGAAAAGAGATGTTTGTCAACGTAAGGTTTCTCATCACAGACTATGAATGGGGCAGTGTGGTTCGATCTGTGGACAAGACCAACCCAGTAGCTTGGCATCATGACGGCAGAGGCTACATTACCTGCATCTGGGGTCATCCGGATCTCGCTCTCACATATGGAGTGGTAAAGCTCCGACAGTAACTCTCTGGGAAGGTCCTGTCCCCCATTAATCCTCCGGTTATTACGGATGAAATCTTCTTCTGTCATCTTCTTCTTAACCTGTGAATTGTGTTGGTCAGTGTTGAGCAATATGATTGAATATGATAGGAGGAGAGCAGCATCTTTGTTTGCCAGAATATCTGGAGATTGCTCATGATATCTTTCAGAAAATGCTTCAAGCACTCTTTGTATTTTTTGCGACTCTCCGGGTAATCTAAATGTTTCTAGAAATATCCGCAGCGCTATATCCAAATTCATACCACGAAAATCAAATGTCCTTGCAAATTCATGAAGCACGGAGATGCAAAATTCATCATGGCTACCTAAGAAATCCCCAATAAGATTTTTATCTAACCCAGGTGCGTATCTGAAGAAACAAGCTACACTGGTGGGATCCAGTTTGTCACCAGGTAACAAATGCATTTCTTGAACAAACTCGAGACCTTTCTTGGGATCCCGGTTAAAATGGTCGGCTCCAATCATCAACTTCTTTTTAATTTGCTTCATCTTATGCACATAAGGAACCCAATGAGTAGGGTCATTATAATCTTGACATACCTCAGTCCAAAACGGCTTATATTCTTCAGAATCTGACGAAATGAGTTCTGAAACTGAACCATGCCCAATTCTTTCACAAATTCCTTCAACAATAGCAATTAGACCATCCAAAGCAATAGTGTTCACTGCTGATAAAGGGCTGTTGACTGGGAACGTGCTCTTTGACAAAAGGTTAGCAAGTTCTTCAAATATGTTGCTACAAGATATGTCACAATCAAAATTAGCATACATTTCAGTCATGAAAACATGCTGCCTGCAAAAGTCAACTAGAGCTTCCAAAGCAACCTCCTGCTGTTGATAAGAAGCTCCATGTTTGTTCTGCGCAATCCTCAAGAGCACACCGGAGAAGAAAGTTTCAAGCTGCAGCTTTAGTTTATCACGGAGATGGTGATAGAGGTTTAGAACGATGCTACTAACCGTTGAGAGGATTAGTGGGCTCATGGACAGGCCAAAGCGCATCAAAGTTCGGAACAACTCCTCCTGTATCAAGGTCAGTAATTTAGGATGGTTTCCAAACGAAGCTCCACCTAATTCTATTGCTGAATTTATTAAACCCAATGCAAAAAGAGGGACATCCTCATCATATGCTATAGGATTTGATCGTGGACCAATTTCCATGTGATCCATCACATTCAGAAGAGAACAAAGGAAATGAAGTATCTCCAGCATACAAGGGATTCCATAAGGATCCATCGTGGAAAGATCTCCACCACTTATACTCTCCTCCTGGCCGCCCAGTTCATTGTTCTTGCTTGCCAATTGGTTTGGAGATGCACTCAAATGAGATTGTTCATTACCAGAACCATCAAGGATAGATTGCCGGTCCCTAAAAGTGTTGTCTTCCATCAACATATCATCCTAACAATGTCATAAAAAGACTTCCTTAGTGAAAGTGAGAAAAGGGGGGAAATCATATGGAAATTAAACATATTACATTAGTAATCACCATGATCACTCCCTTGTAATAACATTAGGGTTACGCAGATTAAAGTGTAAAGAAAAACCAAGTTTTCCCCAGTCAAGTAGACTATTCAAGATTCTGATAAAACTGATCATTACCTAATCTATGACATGAACATTCAACTGGGATACTTGCCCATAAGAGGGACCAATAAAAAGAACAGTAATCAATAAAAACACTAACACCCATTTCTCCCTAGGCAACACTGTTTGACCTAATTTTAAGCTGAACACTTATCCTACATAGATTAAAAAAAATAGAAAGACACCTCATTTGTGATTATTACCTCTGGAGTAGCACATAATATTTTTCTCTGATCCAAAACAATTTCTTTGCTCTCAATATCAGGCAGGTGAGAAAAGATACACCTAACCAAATCATGCATTGTGTGGCGTGTTATCCTTTGCAACAGTTCACTTTTTGCACTTGCCTGGCGGACCAACCGGAAACAGGTATTTACTATATTGCACACATGTTGGTTTCCCAAATAAACAGATGCCTTGCTTTTCATGCAAGCCAAAAGAACTTGTAGAATCTTCATCAACACCACTTCTTCAGAGGCAGAATCAGTCACTTCAAAACGACAGCTGGTGACAGCATCAACTATCCGATGCAAAGCCTTGTCTACATTCTTAGAAGTCGAATCAAGAATTTCAAGGGTTAAAAATTTGTAAATGGATGACAAAGCAACACCTGTGATTGGTGCACCAGTTTCATCAGATTGGACCACGTCCAGAAATGGCTGGAGAAAGACCAGTGGATCGATCGAATTCGATTTATGTTGCCATGAGAAGATCTTTTTCCGCAGCTCCTTGAATGACTGAATGAGAGAATGCTCTACCTGATCATCGCTAGCGGCATAGTGAATCCCCCATCGTACATTTCTCCTCATCACAGCTAAAACCGCTCCAACTTCAGAGTTCACCATACAAGCCAGAGCGTTCCTGGATGGCTTCCATGTGCCACCTTTGGGCCCTGGACAGATGCCATTGGCTTCAATATGCTGATCCAGACACCCCATAGTGGTTTATGACCTCCTTGCAACTCCACCTTAGGTTCCAAAAAGAACAACGAAAAGGTACGATGTCTCAGCTAAATCTAAAATAACTGTTATACAGCTAATTCAAACAGCCAAATCACTCCTGAAAACTATACAGCTTTAATCAATTTATTAACATCATTCTGCAAAACCTTGAAATATAGAGACAAAAAGTATCAAGGGTAGTTTTCCTACCCAAATCTAAGGGTGACTACCGGGTTGGGTTTGTAGCCATCAAAATAATTACACAACACATTCAAGGTTTGAGTGGGTTATGCGGACGGATCTGACATTGACGAGACGAGCAGATATCAGGTAGCTCTTCTGTTAGCCTTCAGACTGTAGGGGGCGCGATTTACAGGGTCTTCATTTTTTTACAGATGAAACAATCATATCAGGGGAAAATGTCCATGAAAACAGTACTATTATAGCGATTTGATCTTGTACGAAAGCGCCCGTTCATACCTTGTTGAGTTATCGGCAATCCATGTCCTGAACGGATGCCTGCTCAGAAGATCATTGCAGACTAGCAGCAGCGAAGGAGGGGGCAATTTGCCAATTTTAGCATTTGATTCAGATGTTCACGTCCAGTACCATTGAAATGAAAAAAGGAGCTTCTTTCTTAGACGGACAACGATACCCCGCGACACTACTTTTTACGTAGTAATTACTATCGTATTTGTTAATTTAGATTCAGATATTACCCAAAATACGACTAAAAAGTTTGGAAAATTTCAAAATAAGACTATTATGTTTTTATTTCCAAAATATGATTAATTACTGTCATGTTTTGGCAGTACCAGACTTCAAACATGGCAGTATTTTCCAAACATGTCAGTAATTACTCCTATTTTGGGAATAAAAAACTTGTCAGTCTTATTTTGGAATTTTCAAACTGTTTTAGTCCTATTTCGGGAACTTTCCCATTTAGATTAAACAAAACGTTGCATTAGGGCTAATTTTATTTTTGGTTTATCCAGCTAGTTATTTGGTTAACAACTTCTTATATACGGAGTAGGGGTGGACAAACGGTACCAGAACCGCGGGTCGGGCCGGGTAATACAGGTTCGGGCGGGTTAGGGTCGGGTCCTAATTATATAAAACCCAAAAGGTTCGGGGCAGGGCGGGTCCTGAAAAACTTAGGAACCGAACGGGTCTTAAAATTTGAAAAAACGGGTACTTGGACCGAACCGTTTTAAAATACTATTTTAATAATTTCTACTATATTTAATACTAGTATAATGTAATATACTAACAAGTAACAACACATGAAAGGTCTTCATGATCTTGTGTCTAGACAAAGACTTCCTATTAAAGAAACTTGTTAGTCTATTAAAAATAGTTTTCAAGTCCGTATAATTAAACTCATACATTATTTTCCTCAATTCTCTATTCCAAATGCATCAAACTTTATTTCTGTAATATTTTTTTGTAAACAAAGACTCTCACTCAATGAAGTGTGACATGTTCATTTAATTATCTTAATGTTACTTATATTTGGAGATTTAATAAGATTTAAATTGTTTTCATAAACAAATATGTATAGTAACTAGTTTAATTTCTTATGAATTTATGGTGCTAGCGTTTTAATTAGTTTATGAATGATGATTAACATTTTAAATAAGGTGGTTGTGTGTTCTTTAATTTATAGATTTGTGGTTCGATATTTTGTTGACCAATTTAATTAAACGTTGTCTTATACTTTTATTTTGAATTTTTATTATATTATGGTTACATTAATACGTAATTAATTTGAGAATTTTATAACTTACGGAAAACTATGCTTGCATAACAATATTCAAAAAAAAGAACCGAGGACTCGAACTGAACCGGCCCGTTTGAAACGGGGCGGGTAAGATTTGGGTCCTATTTTGAAACGTGTTATACTCGGACCGAACGTACCTGTTAAATGGAACCTCCGGTTTTTGAAAATTTATCAATTACCCGACCCGGACCGTGCCCACCCCTAATCCGGAGTATGGATGTGTTTACTTTGGCATGTTTTCGGTCCCCAGATCAGACATAAAAAAAACAAATCAGAGACTATACTTAAATAGACCAGAACAGATTAAATCAGACTTATATTGTTATGAAATACACAGAGATCAGACATTTATCAGACCAAACCAGACCAGTTCTAATCAGACCAGGCCAGACTTAAACAGACCAGACCAGTAAATTACAATCCAAGTAAAACATACATATGGTTACAACTCACAACCAATCTTGTGGGTTGTCTAATTAAAAAAAATAAAGAAAAATGCATATCATTAACTAAATAAAACTCTGGGTATGTATTGAGAGACAATACAATCAGGTGGAATACAAAACACATAAAAACCATCCGACATAGAAAGAGCAGCCCTAGCTTATGAGCTACTACATTCACAGATCTTCTTCCATGAATGACTTCTATCCTAGCTTCGTTGCGAAGACTAAGTCTTATATCTTCTAAAATAATATCCAAATAGGAATTTTCATCTAGTCTCTCCAGTTCAGATACAACCACAAGAGAGTCTGTCTCCACTTCTATCCTTCCTTAACCTTGTGTTTTTGCCCAAGCCAGCACCTCTCGTACTCCGATCGCTTCTATTATCTCCCCTGACCAACTTGCCCCTTCCACGTTCCAGCTTCTTTTTATAAGGCTACCATGTGCGTCTCTTGCCACCCATGCCCATGCTCGCCTACTATTTTGCATGTCCAGCGCCGCATCCACATTAATCTTCACTGTATCTGCCACTGGTTTTTTCGATCCGATCACATGTCTTGTCGCCTTATTTGAAACACCAATCACTACATGAGTCGTCCTCCATCCGCGCAACACTGCCGCACCAATTTCCAGACATTGTCGCCAATCCACATCTTGATTTTTCCAAACTTTATCATTACGAATTATCCATAAGCTCCATTTTTTAGCAATTAAAGTACACATCTCTTCATCCTGCAAATTGTAAAAAAAATCCAGTCAGTGAAATCATGTCCGTGTCGGACAAAACGGAGAAAAATAATCTCAATTAATAATAATCAAGTCTAATTAAAATTTAAATCCTGCATTTGATAAAATTAAGGGAAAATGGAGAAAATTAAGCTCAATTAATATTAATCTGCTTCAAATAATTCAAAGTATCAATTATCTAAAAAAAAATCACAACTATTGTATAAATTTCTCAAAATAATTTATACGAGTTAGAGGAGCATTTTGATTTTTTTTCAATAGTTGTGTTTACTTTGAGATAATTGAACTTTGAAGTATTTTAACAGATCTCTAATAGTTGTGATTATTCTTCTGCATTTTTCCTATAACAAATACTACAAATTCTAACCAGTATTAAACAATTATTATTCATATTATTATAAGGAATTCTACTAATTCAAAACTTGTAAGATGGACTAATTATCAATCGGAAGCTCAAAGATGAAAGTGTCAATATTGGGCTCAAATATATGGTAATATTTTCAAGATCTCAATTAGGTAGAAACTTTCCATTTCTATGATTCCCAAAATTTTGAAGGTTTTAATAAAAAGAAATGGCTTAAATTTTATAGATTTTGATTTATGTAATTTTTTTTAATTCCATTTCTATTTTTTATATTTTTCTTCACATAATTTTATTAGTATATTATATTGAATAATATTTAAAAAAATTAAAATAATAAAAAAAAAATCATGATATTTTAAGTGTTAGATTGATAGTTTTTAATTATTTAATCCCTATATTGACACATTTATTTTTTTATGTCTTTTTATAGTTAAATCTTGAATTGATAAAATTCATTTTTAGGAATAGTGACATCATATCATATTTCTTATCACTTATGACTTTTAAATTGAAAATTATGTTATACATAGTTATTTCATTACTTTGAGTTGATAGATGGAATTCGTCTATTTACATTACCATGTTATTTTTCCTCCCTAGTAATTGTATGTCCTTTCATACTCTCATTCCTCCGTGCATTGAATAGTAATTTTATTGTGTAGTCCTAGGGCGTTTAGATTAGCTAAAAAAGATTTGCTTTTTATTTTAGTTTTTAAGAGGTATACATAACTTTAACTTCACTCATGCATATGAAGAAACCTACTTGTAGATTAATATAAAAACTTTATATATTTGTATACATTACTTTACTAGTCAACCCACCAGTGCATTGCACGGATGAATTCGTCCATAAAACAATTTATTTGATGATTAATATTTGTACACTTTTTCAATTATAAATTAAACATATGATAGAAGGTTGTGTCACAAAGAAAGTTAAGTTAAGAGAGACTCTAATTATTACAAAATACAAAAGAACATTATTGAGTTATTCATTTTTCTTATATATGATGAATATGATAACAATAAATATTTTTAAAATTTTATATGATTAGTGACAATTATGATTATAATTCAATACATGATAAGAAATATAATAAACTTATGTGATCATTGAAACATAACATAATAGAGGTTTTAACATATTTTTATGCTATAGAAAGGTCATATTTATGTGATCATTTTAACTCATCTTGATTAAGAGGGGTTACCTTTCTTTAAAAAAAATATAATTTTTCTTTTTGTATATCCTATATAATAATGTTCTTCCAATTTCCTCATAAATACGTAGTACTAATTATTTATAATTGTATATTGTTTTCTAAAAGAAATTTCTTATTTGTAATTTTATAATCCAAAAGTTTTTTCTAAAAACTTTATTATTTTCTAAAAGCACTTTCATTATATAAATAAAGATTGCATATATAGTATTTACAGATTGTATGGTGAAATTCCAAATAATTTATTTTCCCTCCAACAAAATGAAATTATTGAAGTATTTAATGAACTCTTATAATTAATCAATGTTATTTAAAGTTAGTAAAACATAACCAATTACAATAAATAATAGGGAAAACTGTCAAATAGGTCCCTCTAGTATATAAAAAACGTCAATTAAGTCCTTGTACTATATAATCACCCAATCAAATCCTCTAACTATAGAAAAACACCCGATTCAGCCATTTTGGCACTCACCAACAGGTTAGCCGGTCACATTGTTGAAGTGGAGGTTGACGTGGCCTAATTTTTTCAGGCTGGCCGTTCAGTCATTCACCATCAACTTTCGTTACCGCACCATTTTCATTTTCATTTTCTTTCACCATCAACGGTGCCTCACCAATTAGCAACCTTTGTTACCCAATTTTTTTCCGTCTTTCTCGATTCTCTTTACATATTCTCTAACTTCTTCTATTTCATTTTCTATCTCAAGGAATAAATTTGTTAAAATTACAGATCGTATGTAGCAAATCATAGGAGGACTATTCATCTTCTTATGAAATCGCTACTTCTTATTAAATCGCAGGACACCAGCAGTGGTGACTAAAGCATAAGATGTCGGTGATGGTGGTGGAGACTAAACCAGATGATGTCGACGATGGCGGTGGAGACAGGAAAAGAAGCATTTGACTATGGTAAAACCAGGATCATTGAAGAAGTTCTTCCCTGAACTTGAAACGATGGATATGGCGATTGGAGCGGTGTTGATGGAAATCGGACCCACACTCTTCAGATCCGAACTTCTTCAAAGTTGTACCTGCAAAGGAGGAATCCTATTGAGGTTTGCCATGAGGGGTATACTGAGTACTAGGCTCGAATTAGGTTGGTAAAAAAAATGGAAATCAAGAAATCCCTTCCCTTTGAAAATGGAGAAAGATGAAAAAAATACCATCTTGAAAGATTTAGGCCAGGTCAATATCTGCGTCAACCATGTGACCTGCTAACTTGTTGGTGACTGCCTAAGAGGCTCAATTGGGTGTTTTTTATACTTTAGGGATTTAATTGAATGATTTTATAGTACAGGGACCTAATTGACTTTTTTGACAAAATACAGGGACTAATTTGACAATTTTCCCTAAATAATAATACCAACATTAAGTTCACTAGTCAATCAACCCGTGCGTTGCACGGTAGAATTCACTTAAATAGCTCGTTTGATGAGTAATGCATATTTTTTTATATAATCAAATTAAAGATATAAAAATGTGTAAGAAAGATATTTCATATTGTTTTGAAATATATACTCCACAATTCATAACTAATGATTGATAAATTGAAATATAATGTTCCACATTTTGAAAATTTTATTCATACGCCACCTTAGTTTTGAAGTTTGCAGTTTGTGCCTTGTGTTAAAAAAATAGAGAAACACGACCTTTGATTTATGTACAATTAAATACTTAATCATCATAGAATAAGTGCTCATACATATATAAACTAAGATAATACCTATGCTAATTTTGTAAGAGATGTACAGAACATTACCTCTTTCGTGAGTTACGCCTCACTACTTGTTTATCTCATTTTTATTTGAATTACCAAGTTTGTTTCATACTATATTAGGTGATATTGGTTGTGCTTCAAACTTATTCTTATGAATCTTACTTTGATAATCAAAACCAATTTCATAAGTGCACTTTTGTTATAATGTGTGTGGCTTGCACATGTTATCTTAGAGATAGTACAACATCATGGAAGTGGTATTAGTACATAGTTATTGATAGGAAATATGTGCTCGAACCCCTGGTCTGCAACTATTAGGCTTGGACAACACACATATGTCGAGTAATTAGCCTTTTACATTGTATATATTGGGAAATACCTCTTTATTACAATAAAGATGATTGTGTTCTATATTCATAGATGTATGTAGTGGTCATGAAAGACTTGTTTATATTGTTATCATATTCAAAATTATTGTTTTCATATAATTGTTTTATAAAAATAAATTGTAATAAAAAATAACATTTACATTATCTTATTAATTTATTTCCGAAAATTATAGAATTATTAAATACTTATAAGTTAAAAATGTTAATACTTGTCATAAAAGTGTTGGGCGCCTAGTTGTTGGGCGCTGGGCTAGCGCCGGACTAGCGTCTAACGCCTTTTAAAACATAGGATGGAATCCACCCTCTATGTGGGTGATTAGCTCAAAATTATGATTGGAATGTAATTTTCTGGATTGTGTTGTACTTTGCATGTTTCATGATATTTTAGTATTACTCATTTATAATTTAAAAAAATACTTCGTGTTAAATCTCTATTTGCATATATGCATAATGCATGAATACATGCACGTAGCTTTAAGTTATTAGTAGATATTTAGATTAAACAAAATAACCCAAGTGATCCAATGCATTTGGGTTAGATTGTCAGATAAAGTATTCAGGTAATTAAGAGCGTGCATGCCCTTTCTGCTCTCCCTCCCTCACCTTATCTGATCTCATCTTCTTCCATCAATTCTTGAGAGAGGGAGACACCCATTGCCCCCGGCCGGCCGTTCCATGCACGTTACAAACTTCTAATTCCCCGGCCAAAAAAATTAAAGGTTATTAATCAATCTTATGTAGTTGTTTTATTCATTATTCTCTATCTCTAATAATAATTTAGCCCATGCACAAAGATTTTATATAATTCATTTCTCTCTGTAGATCTGGTGGGTGATTACCAATCGTCAAGGGATTATTATTAATTATTCAATGTACGCACTCTAATAAGATTATTAGCTAGCTTCCATCAGAGGACATCTTCTTTGTCTTCAAATATACATCCAATTTATTAGCTTGTAGTATTCATCTGAGGTATGTTGAATCAATTATAAATTTATTTACCACAAAGAAAATATAAAAATAATGCACATTAATTATATTTATGTTAATTAATTTCAGGTATTCTAAAATATCAGAATTATTACCTTTGGAAAAAATGGGTGCTTGTGTGTCGACTCAATCCCAAATGATTGGGATGAGGAAGAAGCGCCTCTTCAAGCGGCGGCGTGGGAAGACGGCCATTCGGGCTGCTGGGGATGGGGTAACTGATTTTTCTATCAGTGAATTTGTTCATACCACCACCACAACCTGTCGACGATCCGCCGTGTCCAACTCCACCTTCCACCTCACTCAGCGACAATGGCAGCATACCCAAAAAGGTTCTAATGGTATGCAATATACACCGGCTTCGTATATATAAAAACATTAACTAACATATAAAGTCTTGAGCTTGAACTCAAAATTTTAATATGGAATAACTCTCTATTTATAGCTCCATTCTCTCACTTGTAATTTAGAAAAACGACACATTTATTTCGTGTATGAATTACTTGAACTCAATGAAAATGTTAGAATTACTTTAATCTCATGTAATGAATGGCTTGTTAGAGTTTACTATGTCTCACTAAGACTTAGGACTTAGGTCACATCCTAAAGCTATAAGGCATGATCTATATCTTTATACTTGGCCAGTGTATGCTTGTTTAAAGTGATTGAGTTAAAGTGAGATTGAAAAGTTGGAATCCAACAAATTGGACATTCTTAACTGAATATGAATGGTTGGAGTATATATAGTCTATTTTTATTACAACTTTCATGGACTTTCTGAATTTTAAGCTATATTTAAATTAGATATCCGATTATCACAGTGATTAACCAAGAAGAGGCATGGTTTGACACTTCTAGCATTCTGGATTCTGAATCAGATGAGGACTTCAGTAGTGTTTATGGAGGTAATAATAAATAATATACATAAATAAAGTTAATCATATCTATGTTAGTAGTAAATTATTTGATGACCTTATTAGTCACTTCTGTAATAATTAAATGTATAAAAGTTCTTTCCTTTCTGGCGTTAGATTTTTTCCCAGGCAGGTTAAGTGGGCAAGTGGTACAATATGAAATCCATGAAAGATATCTAAAGCTGGATGTGAGTAAAACAGAAAACAAACTCACAGGGAGAGATATCAAGGAGCCAATAGGACTTGCCCTTTTAACTGCCACACGCTACGGACCGAAAAAATTGGACCGCGGTTATGGAAGCTTCAATTCTTTGAAATCTGATCCAGCAGGCGAAAGCGGCTTCAAAGCTGTGTTGCCTAAGTTGGGCGCTTCTTTTAGCTTCAATGACAAAATCATTAGTGCATCCAATGTTGGAATTTGCTCTCAAACTAGGAAATCCACTGTCATAAGGTTATCTGTAACCAGGACACAGGTTGATGGACATGAGGCAGATGTTCTTTGTAAGTTCAACATTATAGTCATGTTCATTTTTTGTGATCCATAAAAAAAGAATGCCCTACGCTTGTTGAGATAATTTTTTGTTTATAGGTTCACCAAAAAAATACCTTTACCGTCCAAGAGCTGGGCTTTTAATTCCTCGTTGTACTGAAGAGAAAGCGAGCTCAGGAACTTGGTCTGCAATTCAACCCTCAAATTTTAAGCTCCGGGCTGAGAGTTATTTTGCGTATGCTCGTCTTACCTCCGGTTTATTATCACAGATAACAAGTACTACATGTTAACTTCCACATCGAACAAATAAAAAAGTACAAACATCAAATAAGATTTTAGGATATTCCTCTAGTGCTTTTCAAAATATATGATATCTCAAGTCTTGGTGTACTACCTTGTTCTAATAAAGAGTTGCATATTTTTTACGAGTAATAACTACTAAGATAGTATCACGATGACCATATTGTTTTTTTTGAAGATGATTCAATGATGATGTTAATGTTCCATTTTACTCTGTTAATCTGTTTGACTATGTTGTACTTTTGAGGTGATTGTAGTGACTACATAGTCATTTATTGTCAATGAGTTCTATGTTTGCAATATTTTAGAAAAAATCTCATATATTACACACATTTTCAATCTTCAGAGACAAGAAGAAATTACCTGCCCCAACCTTTTGTCCTTATACTCCCATTGGAGTTGATCTATTTGTGTGTCCAAGAAAGATCAACCACATTGCACAGTACCTTGAACTTCCTTCTGCAAGCACAGATGAAAACCTTCCTTCTTTACTCATAGTTAACATTCAGGTAAATAAACATAACTTTTATTGAATAATATAATTTTGTAGCCTTGTAAAAAAATCATGTACTTAACAGTTAACATCCCGCATTACTAATGTTCCTTCAGCTGCCTTCATATCCACCTGCAATGTTTCTCGGAGATTGTGATGGGGAGGGATTGAGCCTTGTGTTGTATTTCAAACTTTCTGAAGGTTATGAGAAAGAAATATCCCCTCAATTTCAAGACAGCATTAAGGTAAATTATGCTAAATAATTTGTCCCACGTCGACCCAATATGAAATGGCAAACTCATATTGAGAAATTTAAATTACTCTTCCAATCAATAGGAAGAGTAATTCTGAACAAATGGTCTTACCTCCACTCCTATTATTCTGAACAAATTTTGTATGTAGTATTTGTGAACAAATGTTCTTACCTCCACTCCTATTATTCTGAAGTTGTATTGTTTGTTTGCTTTGTGATTTTGGTTTGTATTGTCTTGTAGAGATTAGTTAAAGATGAAATGGAAAAGGTTAAAGGATTTGCAAAAGATTCAATGGTTTCATATAGAGAAAGGTTGAAGATAATGGTTGGAGTGGTAAATCCTGATGGTCTTGTATCAAATTCAACAGAGAGGAAACTTCTAAATGCATACAACGAAAAGCCAGTGCTTTCCCGCCCTCAACACAACTTCTACCAAGTTAGTTTTGGCAAACTACATTCCATCAAATAATTTCTGAAGGCTTTGATACCATAATGAAGGATATATTCCATTGACATTCATTGCAGGGTTCGAATTACTTTGAGATTGATTTGGACATCCACCGCTTCAGTTTCATTGCAAGAAAGGGACTTGATGCATTCAGAGAACGCTTAAAAGACGGAATTCTGGATCTTGGTTTGACAATCCAGGTTATTATATGCATTAGTGTAAAATCTTTGTTTGCATGCTAGACCCCAGATGTGCCATCTCGCAAGCGCCTAACATCTTTTCAAAATCAAACTAACTTATAAATCATGGAACTATAAGGTTTAACTTTGTAAGATGAAACTCCAAGTATGTCTATCTTTATGTGCCTTAGGGTATTGCAGACTTTCAGCAGCCTTATTTCTTCACAACTTATTTATTTCATTTTGTGGCATCAACAGGCGCAAAAACAGGAAGAGTTGCCTGAGAAAGTGTTGTGTTGTTTAAGATTAAACAAGATCGATTTCGCAGATAAGGGGAAAATCCCAACACTGATGAGGGTAGAGGATAATGAGACTTCCCAGAGCGGCATTCGTGGACTGCTAACAGATGCATGAGGAAATATATGTGATTATATCTTAGCATTAAATATGAGTTTGATACTGCAAAGTACCCAAGGATGCAAGCAAGCAATTACATTCTTCTTCTTTTCGCTAACATGTATAAAATGTAAAGTTAAAAAGTTAAATTGAAAAAAAAAAAAAGAATTGTTATATTATCATGTCAAAGGATCAGGTCATGGAATATTGTAAATTGTGATGAATTCCATGTAAAAAAATCCACTAATTTTGAGTTTAATGATTATTTAATTTGTTCACCTTTATTCACTCAATAATCATTATGTATAGAATATAGATTTGGCGCTACAGAGATATTTACTTCATCTTTACGGAAACAAAGCTCTTTGGGATTTTGGATTGATTTTAGTTAGAAAAGTGGTTACTTTGAGTTTTCTTCAATAAATACTCGTCTTTGTTTCATATAGCATTTTAGTTTTAAAAAACTCATATTTTCAAATTATATACACTTTAAATCAGATAAGAACATGAATGTATACCAAACAGTCCCATTAAAGAACATGTAGTTGAGAATAAATATTTATATCGAACCAGAAGACATCGTTCTTTATACATGAATGAATGCTTCAATTTTGTTATATAAATGCCAATGCTTATTAAAATTTTACAAAATGATGGTGTGCCATGAAAAGCACCAAACTGACAACATCAGTTAGAGAAAAGTAATAAAAATCAGATCACTTTGCATATCATGCATCATGCATGATATATCATGCATGTTAATATCACATGTAGGGATTTGCTCTACTCATGCTTCATGTTTTGTGCCATTTATAAAAAAAAAGAGGGATGCATGTAGTAATATTCATCATCATCGTCTCATCGATCATGCTTGCTCCATTTTTTTTAGCAAAATAGCAATCAATCAAGAATACTAATGATAAATAATTAGATATATTTTGTGATTATAGAATTTAGATGATCACTCCATTATAAATGATCACTTCACATGTACTCTAAACTTAAGCACAAAATAAGCTAATTTCTCATTAAAGTTTCTAAAACAATTGGATGTATAGTATGTGGCCGTGTGGGGCATAGTTTTAATGAGAACTCCTCTAAAATGGGAACTCATTTACAAAAAAAAGGGATGACACCCCATCCCTGAGGCCCCCCAACAATACACCAACTGAACAGATAAATGGGAGGATGTAAATTGGACTTCAATTATCATAAGACGACAGATAGAGAGTGAGGCTGATATGACCCTGGTACTTGCAAAAGCCCTATGCATTTTTAGCATAGTAACCTCTCATCGCAGATTCGCAGTTGTCGGGATTCGAACCCGAGACTTACCCCTTGTGACACCCTCTATATACCAGTTGAGCTATGCCTTACAAATGAGAACTACTAATCTCTATATTTCACATTTCAAATCAAGGGCTAGATGCACTCTATTTTCTTGGCGGCTAGGATGGTCACCCCTATTGCCCCCTGGGGCGATGATATCTAAATTTACTTTCAAATGTTCCAATCTACACGTGCACATAGTTCAACAGATTAAATATGTTGATATGTACATTACATATACTTCATCAGTTCTTAAATAAGTGCAGCGATCAACTTTGCACATTTGCCGATGCATAATTTTGACCATTAATACTCTCTCCGTTCCATAAAAATCTTCCGATTTTCCTTTTGGGGTCGTCCCAAAAAAATCTTTTCACTTCTCATTTTTGGACAACTTGTGTGGCCCACATTTATTATACGTTTTTAATTTCTTACACAACTACAATCATACATTTCCACTTTACTCACACTTCCTTAATTTGTGTGCCAAGTCAATGTGGGAAGAATTTTTTGGGACAGAAGGAGTATATATAATTCTCTATTTCGAAAAAAAATCAGATTTTGAACATTCTCAATGAGACAAATTTCACTATTTTTTTCAATACAATTTACTACTTTGTAATACATTAATAAATAAAATGTAGTCAAAGTAGAATATGTTAATGGTGTAAAATTTAATTTCTTGCACTTATTTAAGAATATGAGTAGTACTATATTGGGCATCAACTCAATCGCGCATGGCGCGTAAAAAACACTAGTTTTGTTATATAAATGCCAATGCTTATTAAAATTTTACAAAATGATGGTGTGCCATGAAAAGCACCAAACTGACAACATCAGTTAGAGAAAAGTAATAAAAATCAGATCACTTTGCATATCATGAGCATTTTTAAATGAAAGTATCATCACTCTATCCAAAATACTCTTTATGATGCTGCTCATCAGCTTTGAAAATCATTTACTACAATTGCAAACATGAAACATAGCTATGCTTAGGGCCAGTGAGATATCCATGTAACCGCCAAGTGTAAAACTCACTTTCTATCGATCAAAATGCAATTTAACTCACTTTTTATCAATTTAACTCTCTTGACAAACCATCTGACTGGTTCTGAGGGACCTTCAAGGACGTGGTGCGTCCTTTCTTTTCATGAATCATGGATCCAGATGAATGGGAATGTGCATTAAAGCCAACAAAATACAATAGTATGTATAACAAAAAAGAGTTTAGCACCACTCTGCTTTGTACTTTACACTCGACAATAGAAATACATTTCAGATCTATACATGGTTGCACTTAGCACATAAAATTTTCATTAGATTTCATTTCCAAGACAAAATGCAGTGGTGACTGCAAAATCTGATCTGCATTCTATGGTGCCCACTGAACCTTGAATCCGTTAATTCGTTCTCCTCAAAAATTGATTGGAATCCTGATTTTCCTTTGTGCATTTCACTCCTTTTTTTACCTGAGAGAAGTGCCAAAAAATCTGGAAGAACTTCATAGTTGAATGCCATTCTTCCTTAGTTCATTCTGAGCTACAAATCTGCATAAGTACAACAGAAATTACCTTAACATGTTTCTGACCATCAAGTTTTAGAGAAGGGTTATAGTTTCTTTTTCCTCAAATTAATTTTTATATATTCATGTATTCTTCAAATTCATATGTCGATTCATGTTAGCCAGCCCCAAATGCTTTAGGGACTAAAGCTTGAATGTTGTAAATATTCTATATTCATGTGTTCCCATAAAAGCACATGCTTGTATGGAGTTGAGATAAATTTGGTAGTCAATTCTGACTTGTTACGCTTATGAGCAGATTAAGTTGCTTTTGACCGACTTCTTTGGCTGAAATCTATGTTGCCAAACACTTTTACTCTTACAATTTTTTTACCTCTGTAGAAACGGGATCTACGAACAGTTTGACGAGGTCTGATATTTTGCCTTGTATCAAACCTACTTGGTTGTTGGCAAAATGCCCCTAAAAACCCAGTACTTCCTTGTGGATCATCATTCTCCTGCATATCATTCAAAAATGGCGTAAGAAGTTGAACACAATCATAGACTTATAGCCACTGGTTGCTTCAGAAATACAATTATGGTCTCTGCGCTTTTAAATTTACATATTTCTTCATTTTTATTTTATTAGACACATATTTGTAATTTTTCTTTTATTATCATCCAGTCCTTTTGAATTATATGATATGAGAGTAGGGTAAATGTCATAAGACTTTGGGTAGTTTGTCCAGCTTATTGGTAATATTTTACTTATTTTGTTGAAGTAGGTGTCACCAAACACTTTTCTTTTCAGAATGTTCAACTATTTCAGGAAGACAACCATCATCAGGCCCTCAATTTAAATGATGGAATGTGCATGAGGAAAAATTCTAACCAATGATGGCTTTCTTGAGTGATACATATCTGATGAGTCAAATGATTGTTGTCTTCCCGATTTTAACCGCTGCTTACGAAGAGCACGCTTATCAACCATATCTGGGCTTCTAGCTTCAGTATGGAAGCCATCTGACAAGTGATCCAAGACATTACACTTTAGACCTTTTGAATTGGCATTATTAGTGTGAGTCCTTGGACCTGCATAATCTTGTTTTTGGTTATTTCCCCCTTTCGAACTAGAAGACATTTCTAGAGGGGCGGAGACAGCTGTTTCAGCTTGTGATAGATCTGTCATTGCTTGAGAAACCTCAGACTTTGTATCATATGATGGTTTTAATGAAACTCGTGACACTGTAGCTCCTTTAGTAGCACGGCTCCCGCCACCAACATGGTTTCTACGAGAAAATGGAATGTTGGCCTCCATCTCCTTTATGCAAGCAAGCACACTAGTTAGCATGTATGTATGCATAGTGTGTGGTCAAAATATTAGTGAATTAAGAGATTCCTTTCATGACTTGGATTTCGATCCTAAAATTTATACTAGATAGAATGAGTAATTCAAATCTTTTTATGTGAACTAGTATCTCTTTGGTTAATTTTTTTACTAGGCAAATAGGTGTTCAATTGTCTTAAAATTCAAAGTCTAGGATAGAGGAAAACTGGGATTAATGCAAACAATAAGCATAACAAAAGGTAGACACAATATTCATTGCAACTACTAGATAGTGAACAAAGGTGAAACTCAAATTGTAATGACAAGGAAAATCAATGGTATCCAAAGACATGACTTATATTTGATTCCTATATGAGATGACTTAACGTGTCATGCAAAATGATGGTTTATTTTAGTTTAGGAATCTTTAAATTTGTGTGCTCGACATTGAAGCTTGCTAGGATGGTTGCTCATAGTAGATTACAAGAGTTTGATACAATACTAAGACTTCAGACTTTTGAGAGTTCATCTTAAAAGCACAATTAGATATTTGACATGCAGATGAATATGTCTTTACATTTGCCAAAATTCAAATTTGAAGGGAAAGTGAAAAAATATCCATTCATATAGACTTTTTAAAATAATTATTCTTTTTACCAAACATGGGTGGGTCAAAGCCCGGGTTGGCCACCTAGATACACTAGTACATGAGCCATTTTTAGAAGAATATAGGGTGACATAAAGAGTCAGACCTGCATTGGAAGAGCTCTACAGAAACTGATAGATTCGTGTAGATTTTTTCGGACTTTTCTAGGATGTTTGGAAGCTCCATAACCTCTTGTTGCATAAATTGCATTCCTTCTGAAAATGGAGGTATAATCCAAAGTGAGATCTCTCATTATAAGAGCAAATGTCAAAATGTGTGACATGGAAGTATAATGCAATAAAGGAATCAAGCAGCACCTCCGTTCATCTTCACGGGATTTTGCATCAATCTCTTTGTTAGGAGGGTACTTTTGTAAGCTCCACGGATCACAAGGGTATGGCGCTGAACTAAAATACTACAAGTCACAAAAATGATGATCCATTAAAGTTGTGGAATAACTCATCCAAAAGCTACTCCTTACACTCAATTTAGCAGACATTTAAGAAAAGTCTACATATAAACAATATTATAAAATTGTACATTTGTGCCTATAAAAATTCAAAATTGAATGTTACTCATATGTTTTTAATGCAAAATACTCCGTAGTATTTACTATGAGGAAAGTAAAAAAGGATAATTTGAGAGATTAATGCAATATGTGCATTGAGTTTTAGAAATGGTGATTATTTTTTTATATAAAATATACTTTAAAACGACGAATAATTTGGGATGGAGGAAGTATTCATTAACATTCAGCCCCCACTTGTACACAATTGCAAGTGAAAAGTCTACATATTAAAATATACTCCGTATTACATAGTACTAGTATAAAATTGTACATTTGTGCCTATAAAATTTCAAAAATGAATGCTTTGCTCATCTTTGTAATGCAAACTAGCATTTACTATTAGGAAAGTAAAAAGGAATAATTTGAGAGATTAATACAATATGTGAATTGAGTTTCAGAAATGTGATTATTTTTTTCATAAAACATTCTTTAAAATGAAAAATATTTTTGGATAGAAGGTGGATATTCATCAACATTCAACCCCCACGTGTAGGCAGGTGGAGCAAAAATTGAACTTGCCTCGGAGGCAAGTGTCGACGAAGCAGTTCCACGCTTACACGGTTCTATTGCAAGAAGTGTTTCTAAGAGGTCCACAGCGGCTTCGGGGAATTCTCTACATCGCTCTCGGAGTGTACTCTCATAAGGATGTTGCGGTTTGAACACAGTGGCAAGTGAAAGCTTAGACTTTTTCCAGTAATCCTCTGGTGGAGAACCACAAAGCTTAAAGATTTTGTGCAGTTGTTCCACCTATAATAAATAAGGTCAGTTTAGAAAAGAAAAAAAGATAACATTTTGAAGAAACATGTGATCATCAGTTGCACACCTCAGTTCTCCCTTTAAGGAATGGCCTCCCACAAAAGAGTTCAGCAAAAACGCAACCTGCGCTCCATAAATCAACCGTCACCCCATAATTTGTCGACCCCAACAGCAGTTCAGGAGGCCGATACCACAGGGTCACCACGCGGCTTGTCAGTGGTTGTATGTTTTTTGCACTAATGAAGTTTGCAAGTCCAAAGTCAGCTATCTTCAAAACCCCGTCATTGTTTACTAGAATGTTGGAAACTTTGATGTCTCTGTGTATTACCCCCGTTGAATGGCAATGCTCCAAACCCAACATCAGTTGCTTCATGTAGCATTTGATCTTGTCCCAAAAAAAAGCATGAGCTCAAACTGATTGTTGGACTACACTAATATTAAGACTTGCATTCTATTCTAAAATAGTAAAATGTCTAACATATGTGGAGGAAATTTTCAATAGCTCATATGCTGAATTTTTATTTCATAATCAGTTAATATGGAGAAACATTTCTTCATCACTTCTATCACTCGAACACATTGACCGATTGTGCAATTTTTAACTTATTCCCTCATAGTCAGATACATAGTTTGAGTCATGGACTTTTTCATGAGAGGACATACTCTCACGGCCCCAAAATTCTTCTTAACTGTGACTTTTCTATTTTTTCATAAGAGACCACATTAAAACTCTGATACCATATTAAAGTGAGCTCCATAATAGTCAACCCGACACACACACACACACACACACACACACACACATACATATACATACATAGTCCAAGAGAAGAGCCAACATGAGCTCCATTTTGGCTATGTTTGGTTATTAGTGTTTGAGCCAAAACACCAAAAGTCGGTAAACTTGAAATGTTAAATAATGCAGCGTGTTGGGTTGGCTTTTCTTCCAATCCGCCAAGAACCAAACACAACCTTTATATATAAGACTCTATAAGTAAGTACATTAGATACCTGTGACTCGGTGAATCTGATGTCAGGAGAAGAGAGCAATCCAGCAAGGTCGTGTTCCATGTATTCAAACACGAGGTATATGCTACAAGATAACTTGGAAGTGATTATTCCCTCAAGTTTCATGATGTTTGGATGATCAAGCCTGCGAAGAATCGTTATTTCTCGTGCCATAAACCTTACACTATCTGCTTGGAAATTGTCGAACCGGACCTTTTTCAGTGCAACCATTCTACCACTTTCATTTTCCCGTGCTCGGTACACTGTGCTATATGTACCTTGTCCAATCTATTATACAAACACCGAACATAACGAATCAATCATATGCACGGAAAATTCTTGCATGAACAGGGTCACAAATGCAATAAATTATTGTCCATCTCCATCATGCATTGCTATGTTGTATATACAGGTACAAGCATTTAGAGGCACCGGTCCAAGTGGATAAGTTTTCCCATTTACAGGGCTTATCAGGCAAGAAATTTAAGAGGATTCTAATGTTTAGTTATAAATGTGCAAATCTTAATTTTATACAGATTATAACTTTCTGGATTGTTTTTGCTTTTACTATTATTAATAATAATTATGATAAACATTTACATTCATTCATCATTATTACCACAGTGCCGCAAAGGCTCCCACCTGCGGTGGGGTAAGGGGGGTCGGATGCAGGGGTGGAGACAGGGGGTGGCTGGCGGTGGCCGTGGCCCCTGCAAGAATTTTTTTTTGATGTATAAATATAGTAAAAAATATTTATAAGTAGTAAAAAATATAGTGAAAATTTAAGTATTGGCTCCGGCTATATAAATTCTTAAGCCCCGGCCCCTGTAACTTGACATTCCTGGCTCCGCCACTGGTCGGATGTACGCAGTCTTACCCCTGTGGCCCTGTACTAAAGCACATGGAGACTGTTTCAGAATGACCCATGGAGACTGTAAAATCGGGTCGAAAATTGCATGGATTGATTGTTGTTTCATAACAAAGAAGCGCATACAGTTTAGAGAGTCATTTTGCTTTATTCCATCATATTCCCAAACCAAAAATAGGTAAATTTTGGCTCCATTGCAAATGATGGAAATAATTGTGCTAAGCATTATATTCAAAAAAATATTTTAAACATTATGTTCCATAAAAATTTCTCATAAATTAAATTGAAATGGGAAAGAATATCCGTTTGGAAGTATATACTCCCTCCGTCCCGAAAAGGTTCAACAACTTTGACTTTCATGTGGACTAATAAAGTAAAAACTGTGTGGTTGAAATTTGTGTAAAGAAAGAGAATTAACTTTAACACATATTTCTTACTTTAAATGAAAATGACAAATCTTTTTGGGACATCCAGAAAAGGAAATTTGTCAAACCTTTTGGGAACGAGTAGTAATAATTACCTTATCTAATCTTTGGAATATGTCAGCTCTAAGAGGAAGCCAGCCGTCGACAGCCTCTCCGGCAACAGAAGTGAGCCAGGTCGGCCAACCGGCAGCTATTTGTTCGCATTCCGTCAACCTCCCGGCGGGAATGCTAAAACATATCTGGTTTTCCGGAAGCTCCTTCTTCGACACCGTCGAATTCCCGGAATGCCGAGCTGAGGACGACGAAGAGGAGGGAGAAGAAGAAGATTTGGGTGCATCGAGTTTATCGTTCTCAGGCTCGACCCGGATCTCCCTGGAGGATCCGAGCCCGAATTTGAGCTTACCCGAACCAAACTGCGATCTCTTCCCGCTGGCATTGCGGTGGTGAAGGGATTGCTCGCGAGGAGGGGAGATATTGGAGCGAGCCTTCTTGGAGCTGACGCAGCCCATAGTGATCCCCCAAAACCCATGAAAAAACGGGCATTCGGATTTTGGGAGATCGGATTCGACGACCCGGATTAAGGAAGTTCCCCAGGCCACATTACCGGCTCATCTGGTCTGCGTGGGAAATCCCGTGAAGAAGAAAAGAGAGAACTAAAAAACCAGAGGAGAAGAAGAGAGAGGGGAAGAGAGAAGGAGAAATTGGTTATGAAAAGGGGAAAAGGGTAGCCTGTCGTCAACGGGACGGTCAAAGATTTTCATGCAGGATCTCATTATATGGCAGCCACACATGCGGGAAACGGTAAGGGCCATTAACATCGACTTCTCCGAAAGCAGAGGAACTGATGATTTCATTACTTTTGTCTTTTGTTGTCGTGTGTTTGGGAATAATTGGGAGGGAAAGTATATACTGGGATCCTCCTTTAATATAGAGCTGCCAAGTGCCTTAAATTACACTTCTTGATTTGAAACTTGTGGTTTCTAAGATTAACTTAGCATAGAGTAAAATATTTCTAAGCAATTAAATCAATTTTATTAATTAATTTTTTCATTTTCAAAGATTACATTGAAAACTCTATAAAATCACAAAATTCAAATCAATATATAACAAAAGTTTGATATTTTAAATAAGTAAATGAAACTAAATCGTGTTGATCAAGAAAATTAAACTTTAAAAATCATTCTAAAACAAGAATAAATAATTATACAAAAAAAATACAATCACGTGGCATTTCCTCCAAGCACATAAAAGTTTAAAATAGTTTAAGAATATGCATTCACATGGTTATTTATAAAAATTATTGTTTTTAAAATATACACCCATAACAAAATAGGAGGCACAAACACCACACTAAGCTACATACCGGCCATTCAAAACACAGTAAAAAACAAGCCCCAAGTCCCCCAAAACCCTGTCTTTTTTTTTTTATTGCCACGAAAGTAATCGGTACGTTATAAATATAAAAGAGTTAACACCGCAATAGCTCAAGATGTCCAACAGATGTAACAAGATGTTCCTAAATCGCAGTAAACAAAAAAAACGGAAATCTCCCAGCTAGCATTCTCAGGAGCCCTTTAGACATGAAAAATCCATTCTAATCATCTGCCTTTTGTATAGATTCAGTACTTGACAGAGGAAAGAATATCAAGCTGAGAACCAAGTTTCTCTTCTGCAGCCTTCTCAGCTTTGAGCCTCAACTTGGTCAATTGCTTTTTCCTCTCATATGTTGCCTGGGCTCTCTCCTTCCTCTTATTCTCCAGGGCCTTGATAGTGTCATAATGATTCCATCCAACCTTGTTGGAGGTATTAGTCCTACCAAGGCCTCCCTTCCACTTTATTTGTTGAGGCTTGCACCCTATTGTTTTACTCCCACTTTGGTACCTTTACCTTGGTATTTTATCTGATCAATAATATACCTGTTTGAGGGTTGACAAACCCACTTGGCTGGCCCCTTTGTGTTCTGTCCGCTGCATCACTTTGTCTTGGTCTATGCTTGTGACTTTCCTTTGTCCAAGAAGCATGTGAGTGCCTTTTGTATTGACCTCACCCGTGACTTCCTTGGCAGCCTATTAATAGTCTTTGCTTCTTCCTTGTGAGACTCAGCCTGCGATTGATACCTTCCTGAGAGCAGTGCTCTCCTTCTCTTTCCCTTTGTGTGAGAACTGAGAGGGACTTAGTGGTAGAGATAAAAACTTAGAGTTGTGCAAAGCCTCCCCTAAAGTGGTGTGTGAGAGTGTGTAGAAAGACCTGAGCCGGAGACGGAAGTATACGGTCCTTACAGTGGTATCAGAGACAGGTTCGCCGTCTGCTGCCGCCGCCGTCCGCCGTCGCCGTCAGCCACCACCGTCGATTGGAGCTCGCCGAGGGTTGCTGGAGCTGCCTGGTCGTTCCCACGAGCTCACTGAGGACTCTGTTCGCTGAAATCGAGCTCGCTGGAAGCTCGAACCGCCATAGCCAGAAGCTCACCGCCACAGAAAAACTCGCCGGAATCAGTCGCTGGAGCTGCCGGTCTGCTGGTTGTTCGCCAGTCACCGTTTCGTCGTCGAAGGGCTCCGCCATCGAGGTCGCCGATGCTGAGTTCGTTGATTCGCAGAAGATAAACGAAGAAGCTGGTGACTCCTGGTTCGCATCTGGAACGAAGAAGACGGACGAAGCAGGAGTGGACTGTTGACTTGGATTGCTGAACTGGAGCTACTGGGCCTGTTGGACTGCTGGACTTGGGCCTAAGTAATGCTGGGTTGCTGTTGATATTGCTGGACGCAGGAGTCTGGACCTGGGCTGCTGTTTTGTTGCTGGAGCTGAGCTGAGGGGCTGCTGCTGCTGAGCTGGATTGGTCATGCTGGAAGCAGTCAACTGCCACCGGTCAACCGCCGCCGGTCAACACCGGTCAACGCCGGTCAAAATCAGTCCAAAGTCCAGAAAAATCCCAATTTTTTTTTTAAATTTGGGTAGGTAAGGTCGAAACGCTCTCCTAGGGTTTCGCGAAGGTAAGTTTTCTTTAAACTTCCTATTTGTAATTTTCCGGCTTTAATTTAATTTTAATTTTATTCCCCCTCCCCGCGGGCCGCCGGTTGATTTAATCCCGGCCGCAAACCCCCCAGGTACGTTCTAAACCTTCTCCTTTGTGGTAGTTTGTTTAGTTGATTAATTAAATTGCTTTGTGTTATTTAATTTTAATTGTTATGCGTAGGGGTGGTTTATTGGGTGGTAGGGGTAGAATTAATTAATTTTAATTTTCTGCCCGGAATTGTTTAATTGCCAAAATGTCCATTTTTGCTATGTGTTGCATGCTGCCCGGGGTTATTAAAGTGATTACTTTATAGCCCGGGTTGGATTATTTTCTGTTAATTCTGTCTGTTTAGCTTTGTGTTCCTTTGTGGTTGATACCATGGCTGCAAATCAGTATGGTATGCTTCCATTTAATGGAAAAACAGATTTTGATATTTGGAAACAGAAAATAAGGTGCGTTTTAATACATCAAAAAGTTTTCAGAGCTGTCACTGGTATTTTCCTTGAATCAGAAGATAAGGCTAAGCAAACAGAAATGAACGAAACTGCTTGTTCTACTATTTACTTGAATCTGTCTGATTCTGTGCTTAGGAAAGTAGGTATTCTTGAGTCCGCTGAGGAGTTGTGGGAGAAATTGGATAAGCTCTATACTGATACCTCTTTACCCGGGAAGTTGTTCTTACTAGAGAAATTCTTTAGGTTTAGGCTTGACCTGACTAAGGATATAGATGAGAACCTGGATGTGTTTAATAAACTGATACAGAATATCAAACAGGCAGGTGATAAACACATAGATGATTATACTCCCATAGTATTACTTAATGCCATTCCCGACTCTTATAATGATGTTAAGTCCGCTATTAAGTATGGTAGGGATGAGATTTCGTTAGACATTGTTGTGAATGGGTTAAGAAGTAAGGAATTAGACCTGAAGCATGCTAGGGGTAGTGCTAGTCAGTCCAGGGACTCCGGTGAGGCTATGTTTGTTAGGGGTAGATCTAAGGGTAGGTCTAAGAACTCTAAGCAAAATAGTCAGGGTAAGAACACTAGTCAGCCTGGGAGGAAGAGGAGTAAATCTAGGAAGAGAGTGTGTTACAATTGTGGTAACACTGGCCATTTCATTAAAGATTGCCCCCACCCTAAGAAGACCGAGCATGCTAGTGTAGCTGTTGATAAATGTGACCTTGGTGATATCTTGATGGTTTGTGACCATGTTAATTCTGTGAGAAATTCCCTGTCTGAGCATGAATGGTTGATTGACTCTGGTTGTACCTATCACATGTCCCCCTTTAGAGATTTGTTTTCTACTTATGAATTATGTGATAGTGGCTATGTTTCCTTAGCTGATAATAAGAGATGCAATGTGCTTGGTGTTGGTGATATATGTCTGAAGTTTTCTTGTGGCTCTGTGTTTACCATTAAGAATGTGAGGCATGTCCCTGATTTGTGTCATAACTTGTTATCTGTTGCTGCTTTGGAGAGTAGTGGGTTACAGGGAAAATGGGGGAATGGTTGTATGAAAATCCTGAAAAACTCGCTTGTTTTGTTTAAAGCTGAGAAGGTGAATAACCTTTATGTGTGTCATGCTAAACCTTTTGCTGAGTCTGTGAATGTTGTATGTTCTGATAAGACCTCTTTGTGGCATAATAGGCTAGGACATATGAGCAATAAGGGTTTAGATGTCATGCGTAGGGCTGGTTATTTTGGTAAGGACTCTGTGACTTCTGTGCCTTTCTGTGAATCATGTGTGTTAGGCAAGCAGCATAGAGTCAGCTTCCCTCCTTCCTCTTACCCTAATCTGTCTAAGTGTTCGTCTGTGCTTGAATATGTTCATGCCGATGTTTGGGGTCCTGCCAGTGTTCCTACCCACGGGGGTAGGAAATATTTCCTTTCTATTATTGATGACTTTTCTAGGAAGGTGTGGGTTTGCCTTTTAGAACACAAGTCAGATGTGTTTGTGAGGTTTAGGGAGTGGAAAACCCTAGTTGAAAACCAAACTGGCAGGAAGGTTAAAACCCTTAGGACCGATAATGGATTAGAGTTCTGTAATAAGGAGATGGATAAGTTGTGTGCAGATTGTGGGATAAAAAGGCACAAAACTGTGCCTTATACTCCCCAACAGAATGGGATAGCAGAGAGAATGAATAGGTCTCTGTTGGATAAGGTTAGAAGCATGTTAGCTATCTCTGGTTTGTCTAAGAAATTCTGGGGTGAAGCAGTTACTACTGCTGCCTATTTGGTTAATAGGTCCCCATCTGTCCCTCTTGGTGGTAAGTGTCCTGAAACCGTCTTTACCGGTAAGCCTCTTGATCTGTCTAACCTTCGGGTGTTTGGTTGTGCAGCGTATGCACATCAACAGGGTGACAAGTTGGATCCTAGGTCTAAGAAATGTGTCTTCCTAGGTTATCCAGAGGGGGTAAAGGGTTACAGATTATGGGATAGGAACCAGGTAGGCTTTAAAGTGGTCCTAAGCAGAAATGTGGTGTTTAATGAAACTGATTTTCCTTGCTTGACCGAGTCTGTTTCTAATCCTGAGTCTAGGTCTGATAGTACTCCTAGTGAGGTGGAGTCTGTCCCTGTTGCTGCTAGTCCTTTGTCTGTTGATCCTGTTATTTCTGATGATATTGTTATGCATGATTCTGATTCCTCTGAGCATGATAGTCCCACCACCTCGAGTGAGGTGGAGCATTTGCATGATACTGAGCATGATTTGCATGATATGGGTGCTGAATCTGATTTTCATGATAACAATAATTTGCATGAGTTGCATGTGGAGCCTAGTAGTGATAATTTGCATGATTATCAACTTGCTAGAGATAGGAGTAGAAGGGCTATCAGGAGAACTGCTGATAGTATGCCTGATTATGCTTTCATTGTGCATGATACTTCTATGTTTGCATTTTCTGTGTTTGAATCCCTAGAGCTGAATGAACCCAAGACCTACCGTGAAGCCTTAGGTTCCAAAGAGTCTCAGAAATGGATTAGTGCCATGAAAAGTGAGATGGACTCTTTGAGAGTGAACCAGACTTGGACCCTTGTACCTAGACCCCCCAACTGTTCGGTAGTTGAGTGTAAGTGGTTGTTTAAGGTTAAGGAAGAACCTAGTGATGTTAGGTTTAAGGCTAGGTTGGTTGCGAAGGGGTTTACTCAAAAAGAGGGAGTAGATTATGCAGAAATCTTTGCTCCTGTTGTTAAATTCACCACTATTCGTATGATGCTTGCTTTAGTTGCTCACCATGACTGGGAAATGAAACAGATGGATGTAACTACTGCATTTTTGCATGGTGAATTGGACAAAACAATTTATATGACCCAGCCTGAGGGCGTTGTGGATCCCAAGAGAAGTGAGCATGTATGTTTGCTTAGGAAGGCATTGTATGGCCTGAAGCAATCCCCTAGGCAGTGGAACATCAAATTTGATAAATGCATGATATCTTTGAAGTTCCAAAAATCTGTCTGTGATCATTGCCTGTATTTCAAGAATACTTCCTCTGTGCCTGTATTTTTGTTACTCTATGTGGATGACATGCTGATAATTAGTCCTTCTCTGAATGCTATAAAAGATGTGCAGAAATGTCTTTGTGCGAATTTTGCCATGAAAGACCTAGGTGATGCCAAGAGGATCCTAGGCATAAACATTGTTAGGGATAGGAGTAAGCGTACTCTTACTTTGAATCAGATTTCTTACATAGAAAAAGTTTTGAGTAAATTCAATATGTTATCTGCTTCTCCTGTTAATGTCCCTATGGCATCTCACTTTGTGTTAAGTAAGGACCAGTCTCCCAAGACTGCTCCTGAAATTAAGAAAATGAAATCTGTGCCCTATTCCAGCGCAATAGGGTCGGTGATGTATCTTATGGTTAGCACTAGACCTGATATTGCATATGCGATTAGTTGCTTGAGTAGATATATGTCCAACCCTGGTTTGCCCCATTGGAATGCTCTTAAGTGGTTGCTTAGATATCTGATTTCTACTGTGAAGCATGGATTAATTTTCTCTAAATGTGCTAGTGGTATTGAATTGATTGGTTATGTTGATTCTAACTATGCAAATGATAGAGATAACAGGAAGTCGACCACTTCTTATGTTTTTACTTTGTGTGGCTCTTGCATTAGTTGGAAGTCTCAACTACAGCCTATTGTGGCCCTTTCTACCACTGAGTCCGAGTATGTTGCAGTCACAGAAGCGTTTAAGGAAGCCATCTGGCTCAAACGCCTTGTCTCCGAAATTGGGTTTCTCAAAAAGGGAGTTACCATTTTCTCGGATAGCCAATCGGCTATCCAACTTTGCAAAAATCCTGTATTTCATGATAGAACTAAGCATATTGATGTTAGGTTCCATTTCATACGTGATATTGTTGATGCAGGTGGAGTCAAGCTGTGCAAGATCCCGTCCGAGTTTAACCCCGCGGATATGGGTACCAAGTGTCTTTCTGCTGAGAAGCACGTGTCCTGTAAACGCGTGTTAAACTTTGACTGTGGATAACTGTGGGTTGCCTAATAAAGTGTTTGCCCGTTGTGTCTTTTGATATTCCGGGTGACCCGGCGATGATGAGTCTTGTCACAACCTTGTATTGTTACTCTACACCATCTAGGACCAATAAGGTGGAGAATGTTGGAGGTATTGGTCCTACCAAAGCCTCCCTTCCACTTTATTTGTTGAGGCTTGCACCCTATTGTTTTACTCCCACTTTGGTACCTTTACCTTGGTATTTTATCTGATCAATAATATACCTGTTTGAGGGTTGACTTACCCACTTGGCTGGCCCCTTTGTGTTCTGTCCGCTGCATCACTTTGTCTTGGCCTATGCTTGTGACTTTCCTTTGTCCAAGAAGCATGTGAGTGCCTTTTGTATTGACCTCACCCGTGACTTCCTTGGCAGCCTATTAATAGTCTTTGCTTCTTCCTTGTGAGACTCAGCCTGCGATTGATACCTTCCTGAGAGCAGTGCTCTCCTTCTCTTTCCCTTTGTGTGAGAACTGAGAGGGACTTAGTGGTAGAGATAAAAACTTAGAGTTGTGCAAAGCCTCCCCTAAAGTGGTGTGTGAGAGTGTGTAGAAAGACCTGAGCCGGAGACGGAAGTATACGGTCCTTACAAACCTCAGATGAAAGTTTTCCCAATAAGCAGTACTTGTGACCAGCTTGGAGCCTCAAAACCCTGAGAGCATCAGGAATAACCATCCTCTTCACTTTATCATACGGCGTAGGCACCCCTTCAAAAACCTTCAGTCGGCCAAGAGCAGCAGCACCGCGCTTAGTCTTATGCGGAATCATCCCTCGGATGGTACACCATAGGATCTTTGAAGGAGCACGGAAATGGATTGGACCGTGAGAAGGTTTAGTGTCCATGCGCTTGCGTAGAAAGCGGTGGTACTTCATTTTCTGACGGACAAGGCCGCCGGGGAGGCAGATCTCCTCACTTCTCGTCACCACAACTCTCACACCGTTCAACAACTCCTTGACCAGAATGGAAGCCAGACGCCCCAACATGTGGTGCCTCGCATCCACCACCACTCGATTGACGCGGATTCCCGATCCGGACACCATTGCTGCTGCTGTCTCCTCTCCACCGGTGATCAGCCGTCATCCCCCAAAACCCTGTTAAAAGGAAGGGATACCAAAAGACTAACACATCAAACATACCAGTTACCAAATATGACTTCAAAGGTCAATCATATTTGAAGGATACAACATTACAACCTATACAATATTTTATACTCCGTATATACAAATCACTCCCTTAATTTTGTTTATGTTAAAGTATAAATGAATTAGTCATCTTCCAACTATTCATGATTAGGAATTAATATCACCATTATATAACTAATTAGGAAATCATAATTATGATTTCAAGGTGATAATTGTGTGACTCATAATTATCTCTTAATCTCATTGAGCTCACATTTTCTCTTATAAATAAGAGTCATTCTCATTGTAATTAAACACCTCTATCACACTTCTAATACACCTCTAACACACCATCAATAACATAATTATGACTAAGTGTTCATATTATACATATCTCTTTAATCTTCTACTTATTTCTTTTCATTTCATAATAGTTTAACCATTTTTCGCAGCATTTGTTCTATTTTCTCCAAACCGACCCATATTTCTTTCTTTCCAAATGGTGTATACTTTGCATCCCATTATGGCATATCCCAAAGCAATCATATATAATTGATGTGTTGATTAGTCTTGCACCTTTTAAATACTTCCTAAAAACTTTATAGGGCTGTGAAGTTTAGCAATTCATCTTCTCACACCTATCCATTTGCGAATGTTCCTCCAAATCAAGCCAGTAGTCGGGCACCTATGAAACAAAATGGTCAACTACATGTCACGGCCCTTTTCAAAAAACACAAGCTTTTGGTTGTCGGGAGTTTTTTTCGAAAGGGTGAAGCAGAACCTAAACAAAATGCAATTCTTCAAATAGCGCTTACCCAAAGTTTACTCACTCTCTTTCTTTTGGAGAAAATATATGGAGCATCCTGGTGTGATGAATGACTAAGATTCATTCATCTAAAATATTTAGAGAATCTCGACCATTCATCACGTTGTCGTGCTCCTTTGTGAACGTGTTAGTGATGGCACTAAAGTCGTTGTGTGCCTCAAAATAAATTCACTACTAAGGGCTAATACCGTAGTATAGTGTAGTAGAGTTCGTATCCACAGGGAAAGAAGCTTTTCGCATATGTGTAAGCGTAATAAATAAAAGTAAACGAAAAGGGGGATCAGATATTTTGATACTTTGAGAAAGCAAATAAAATATTGAAATGAGTGAAATAAAATATCAAAGGTAATCAAACTTGGTTTTGCTAATTTCCACTTAGTGAAATGCTCGTTGATCATTGTTACTACTTTAATTATTCCTCTTGAATACTAAATTGTGGAGAAATTCCAATTCATCTAAAATAGCTATTAATAACGAGACGTGTTCATTAATAACTCTTACTATTAATTAATCAATATAGAACAAGCGCCATATGTTGATCTTAATAGTAGCATTCAGTAGATTTAATGAAATAAATTAAGAACGATAAATTGTAACCCGAGGTGAGTATTCTCGACCGTCACAACGAGAATCTCAGGTCCAATTATTCTATCTAATTTATTCATTTTTCATCGGATGAAATCAATTAAGATTGATAACTTCAACACAAGCGGTTTCTTGGTTTGGTCAATATAATTACTCCCTCTTAGATTATTAACCATGAGACGCATGCATTACTAATCTAAGAGCTCGTTTGGTAGTTTACACGTTAAAATCTTTGCACGTGAAGTGATTGCATGCAAAGTATGGGGAAACAATCATTTTGCATGTAAAATAGATTACATTGTTTGGCTAGATGTGTAATTTATTTTCAAATTGCACACAAAGTCGTTGGCTAGAAGATAAAGATTACACCGTAATTGTACAAAAGTTAGTAAACATAATGTAAAACCATTCTAAAATGTGGTGTTTATGCACTATTAAATAGTACACACCAGTTAGCATGAGAGAGTGAGTCTTTCGTGCAAACTTACCATTGAAAGAGAGAATTTTTTTGTGCAGCGTTCTTCTAGTTACCAAAACTATCAAGTAGTGCCTCTTTAATACCAGCCAATTTTTTAGAAGATGAGAGGCTTTATTATTGGGTCTTTTTAGAAGATTATGGAGATCTCTTGAGCTAGTCTTGTTAAATCTTGGTAAATGATACTCCGTATTTGACATATCCATAAAAAAATTACAATTCATCACTTAAACACATATATTAAAAATTGTCATATAAACATGTTTACTTTGGATATCTATAAATTCAACCTTTTAACTTATTTTAACCTATTATAACAGTAATTTCTTTTATTTATTTAAATTGATAAAATTTGAAGAAAGTTATAATTTCCTTAAAGTATAGAAATGTAAACATAAAAAAGGGTATAAGTGCCAAAATACATACTCAGTGAATGATTTAAAAAGTTATTTTTTTATCATGAATGGTTTAAAAAGTTAAAATAAAAAATACTTATTTATAAATATAAATAAAATTAAAATATGGAATTTTTTAAGAAAATGCAGAATATGCAAATAGTTTAAAACCTCGCAAAAAAGTACAGGTTGTGGCATTTTTATATATTTTTTAGCTTTTTTGAATTTTTGTATTCTTTGAAAATGGTTTGCTATATGGGTTTAGAATTGGGAAAAGATGCAAATCTACCCTGTTTTGTTCAAAGAATCCCAGGGATAAACGAAATGATTTTTGTATTCTTTGAAAATAATTTGCCCATATACCCATGTAGTATGAGTTAGTTGAGAACAAATCTAGTCCTGTTTTATTTTTCGTAACAAATTTACCTTGAAGTATATGTGGAAGTGCATATGTGTGTGTTTACATATATATATATATATATATATATATATATATATATATATATACACGATTGTTCCTGTACATATGGATGTACGGGAGGTTCCGTACGGACAAAGGCATTAGAGGCCCTTCCCGGTGGAATTTTTTTAGCATGTTCTTCATCAAGTCTAGTTTATCCATACCAAATTTCAGCTCAAAATTCAATCGGGAAGGCAAACAAACAAATTCTTGAAATATACTGCACATTATATGTGCGCAGAATGTTCCATACATTTCAAGAATTTATTTGACTGTTTTCCGATCAAATTTTGAGCTGAAATTTGGTATGGATAAACTAGACTTGATGAAGAACATGCTCAAAAAATTTCATCAAAAAATTCCACCGGGAAGGGCCTCTGATGGCTTTGTCCGTACGGAGCCTCCCGTACATCCATATGTACATGATCATTCCTCTAGGGAGCACCCTACGGAGCACCCTTTATATACATATAAAACGCAGTTATCTTACAAAAATCCAAAAATTGTTTGGATGCCTTCCCAATTGAATTTTTTGCTGAAATTTGGTACGGATGTACTACACTTGATGAAGAACATGCTCAAAAAAATTCATCGAAAAATTCCACCCAGAAGGCCCACAAAACGTGGAGGCCGCACGGAGGCTCCGGTAAGGTATATATATATATATATATATATATATATATATATATATATATATATATATATATATATATATATATATATATATAGATAGATGAAACTTCATGTCAGGCCGGCCTGACGGGCTGCCCCGTCCGGCCGAGCCCGTTTGGGCACCTTCCCGGTGGAATTTTTTGATGAAATTTTTTGAGCATGTTCCTCATCAAGTCTAGTTTGTCCATACCAAATTTCAGCTCAAAATTCGATCGGGAAGGTCGTCAAATGTATTTTCCGGACCAGTTAACTTGCAAAAATCATTTGGCGACCTTCCCGATCGAATTTTGAGCTGAAATTTGGTATGGACAAACTAGACTTGATGAGGAACATGCTCAAAAAATTTCATCAAAAAATTCCACCGGGAAGGTGCCCAAATGGGCTCGGCCGGACGGAGCATCCCGTCAGGCCGGCCTGATGAGAAGAGCACTATATATATATATATATATATATATATATATATATATATATATATATATATATATATATATATATATATATATATATAGGGTAAGGATCAAATGAGAATACCATCTTAGGAGAGAAATGAGAATGATTTTGGAGCGTTGGATTTTAGCATTGTGCATCATGTAAAACAGAAATGTGCATATGCAAAAATTGGAAAATGTGTATTTCAACCGTGCAAAAGTTTACACGTAAAAGTGCACATTAGAAATTTGCATTACTTTAACTATAAATGTGCATTTTCGTGAATGATAAAGTGCATCATTTTGGAGCGTTCTCATTTCTCACGTTAAGAAGTGTTCTCACCGGAACCGCACCATATATATATATATATATATATATATATATATATATATATATATATATATATATAGACAAATATTCCTGTCCGGAGGTCCGGACAGGGAACCGCCGTCCGGACCGCGGCGTTTGGCCGCCTTCCCGGTGGAATTTTTTGATGAAATTTTTATGGCATGTTCTCCGTCAAGTCTAGTTTATCCACAAAAAAATTCAGCTAAAATCGCAATCGGGAAGATCGTCAAATGATTTTTGAAAGTTAACTGGTCCGGAATATGTATTTTCCGGACCAGTTAACTTGCAAAAATCATTTGACAACCTTCCCGATTGAGTTTTTGGCTGAATTTTTTTGTGGATAAACTAGACTTGATGGAGAACATGCCATAAAAATTTCATCAAAAAAAGCCACCGGGAAGGCGGCCAAACGCCGCGGTCCGAACGGCGGTTCCGGTCAGGAGCTCCTGACCGGATCATTACTCTATATATATATATATATTTAGGTGAGAAGTAAGAAGCAATCTCGTATGTTGATTAAAGAAATCGTGTGGTACACAATTGAGATAGTAGATGCAATGTTTAAAAGGAAAGAAAATAAGACCAGTCTACGAATTATGTCAAGTAATTAAAGTGAAGGGTTTATTAGTAAAATGTTTGGGTAATTAAAAAGGAAGGACTGTTGCACGATTGAGAAGAAATAAAAAATATTCCATAATCTCGGTGGCTTTAATGATTTATGCGTACTGCACTGGGGAAGGAAAAACAACTTCCCATTCATGGAAAGCTATTAATGTTAGTGGTTAATTTAAGGAAGTAGGAAGACTATACTGATAGTGCAACATTCGTGTAATTTGGTGCACCAATAGAAGCTTAATTTTTTTTTTGAAAGCAATAGAAGCTTAATTAGGAAAGAGAAAATATAATTTTTAAAAAAGAGGGCCTAATGGAAAAGCTAAATCACGGTTAGTACAATGCAACATAAGTGTTCTTATCTGCATTAAACACATAATATATATGCACTAATTTCATCTCAGAGTGCTCTAATATAAGTACAAAAATAAAACATTAACACGCATTCATCTCTCTATTTATATTAGTGCATACAACGAAACTTATTATGCAGTTGAAAATGAAAATTAATTTTGCAGTACTTTAGGCCTTGTTCACAATCATATTTTGCAATAATACCACCAATTGTGCTAAAATGTCTATTTATTATGCAACTTGCATTATCGCATTACAAAATGTAATATTCTAATTTCATATATTTGTGCACTACATTAACCACAACATGCAGTATCTCTTTGTACCCATGCAAAATGAAATATCATATGCAAAGTGCATTTTCTGATTACATTTTGTTGCGCTAACATTAAAGATTCATGCACTACATCAACCACGCAGTATCCGTGCACAACATGAGCAAATTTATGCAATATTTTTTCGCTGCAAGATAACTGATGAACCGAGCTCCATTAAAGAGGTCAAAGCCTAGATTATTGAAGAACCTGCTGGAGAAGACGATCAAAGAAGATAATATTAATGTATATAATAGACCCATTAAAGTAACAATGAAAGCTTGGTCAACGTGAAAAGGAAAGGAGATACGTTATCTTCTTATTGAATTCAATCAATTAATGCTAATTGGAAAATGACTAATCTAGCCTTATTGCTAACGTGATATAGCTTATGATCTAAGGGTGTAGATTGTTTCTCATTTCTTACATTAGATGAATTTCTCACTTGAACCAAAATATATATATATATATATATATATATATATATATGTATATATATATATATATACATACATATACACTAGTGTAACACCCGGGGCATGCCCCGGTGGTGTCGATCACTCTCATAAATATTCAATTACTTTATTATCCAACATCAGTTTTTAATACGATTCACTAATCCCTGCAATTTTTTACTTACTATATAAATATATTAATCATTTTGTTCTTTAAAATTTGAGAAATGTTTTATATATTAGTCTTAATTCAAAAGGTTTTGTTGAAATTTTGAATTATTGATCATCAATTTTTGGCAAATACAGGATAGGTATAGTACGTACTCCCTGATATCTATTTTATGAACAATTATGTAAACATGATTTTTTCCATTTGTGTAATTTTGATTTGATTTTAAAATATATATTATTATTACTATCATACTATGTAAAATAGTAAGAATAATTTTGATTTTAAAATAGGTACCACTATTTATTTTCTAGAATGATATCATTATTGTTATTATTATTATTATCATCATTATTATCATTATTATATATTAGGGAAAGTTCCCGAAATAGGACTAAAACAGTTTGAAAATTCCAAAATATGACTGCCATGTTTTTTATTCTCAAAATAGGAGTGATTACTGCCAAGTTTAGAAAATACTGTCATGTTCAAGCACGGCTTTATCAATCATATTGTCAACTAAAGCCTAAAGATATCCCAAGCATGATTCCATCCAAGTTCTATGAAGCAGATCAAACGATTAAAGTGCAATATGCATTCTTGTTGAATCTCAAGCATCCAATTAGGGGTGGACAACTCGGAATCAGATCCGGAATCAGGCTGACCGGAACCGGGAGAGTGAATAAATGGACCGGTTGCCTATATATTTTATCCAGATCGGATCAAATATTCGAAACTAGTCTAAGCCAGTTCCGGTTCTGCCAAAATAGGAATAGAACCGATTTGCTCCTACCTGTAGTTCTGAATTTTGCTTAATCTTTGATTTAAAAAGAAGGCTAAAAGACTGCAAACGAACTCAAAATCAAACCGCCCAGTCCAAAGCTAAAAACAAACTTAACCAACCCATGTCCATTCTACATTCTGGTGATGATAACAAATTGGACGGGTTATTTAAAGAGAAACAAGAATGTGTGTTTCTGCATAGAAAATCCAACATCATTCAATCTACTCAACTTGTGACAACCTACCACTGGATTATATTAGTTCACGTGATCTGGTAAACAATTGCAGAATTATTAATATATGATTCAATAAATTAAGGGAGTCTTTGCACAAAAAAAAAAAAAAAAACTTTTGACTTAAAAAGGGCTGAAATGAGTGTTTTCAAACGACAAGTTCTACTTAAATAAAGTGCTTGAAAGCTAAAAAGTGGAAGTGAACTAGTGAAGAGGCACTTAAACGGCTTTTCACTTTTTCTATTATACAAAGAACATTTATTTTACCAAATATTGCCAACTTTTACTTTTTCAAAAAATAATTTATCTCAAACACTACCAACTTTTACTATTAAACATTTTATCTAATCATTCGGGCCACTAGATTATAGTGAATTAGTGATTGTAAAATTTTCATTGCTCGGCAGGAAAAAAAGTATTGACACCAAACGGCCACAGCCCACAATCCCCACATGAAAGATTATTTGTGCTGGTAAAAGTAATAATAAAACATTGATGCTTCTATTAAGTACATAGTATTAATCAATATTATCAATTATGTTCCCTTCCATGAATAAGGAAAAAGAACTGGAAATTACCAATTTCTTCCCTTGCTCTCTGCACTACAGTTTTTCTCATCAAGAAAACAACCCTCATTCAATATCCCTTTCTCCTTTGTTTGATTCCTCTCACGGTCTCACCTCACTCTTCTACCAGACATACGGGAAGACAGTAAAAGCTCTTCAAACATAGATTCATTTGATAAATGCTTCCAGTTCAACTCAGCAACTTATACTACATACACATTTGAGAAAAGGAGCTAATGCTGCTATATGGAATTCTTCTGCCAAAAGACAGCAAAAATTAAGTCGACAAGGAATGGCAAACGACACTCCTCAAACAACATGTGAACTCGAAAGCTTATGATGCAAGTTGTTCTTCTTTCACCTGTGCACTGGAAATTGGATCTTTTGCTGTTTCCTACAACCCGTTTATATTATGATACAATGACGATTATTCTTGTTTGGCAGAGTAAGCAGTAGGCATATCGTGATTATGTTGGCCTTCATAAGTTGTTACCACAGCTATTGGATCTGCTGAAGCCCTTTCAACGTGTTTACGAACATTGCATCCCATGTATGTGCATCGATAGTAACTCCTGCAGTGACCAATAAGCCAACTCAAACTACTATACTGCTGATCTAAAAAATCCCGTCTAGGCGCCAGGCTGCACTCCACTCCCCAGCTAGAGGCTACCCAACACTTTTTAGGACAGTAGCGCTTGAGCATCGAGACATTCGACAAAAAACATTTGGTAAAATAGAGTGATTGAGTTTGCAATGTAATGTTATGCAAAAGGCATCTAACAAAACTAATAATAATATTTTTTTGCATGAATATATTCATTTCTATTTGAAATTTTAGCACACACCAACGGAAAATAAATTTCATTTAAAGTACGTGTGTATATTAAAAAATTAAAATTATTTATCTTTAGAATAATTTCTAGAAGTGTAGTTAATTGTTTGAAGAAGCGGTCCAGCCCAGCTGGTCGCCGACTCACTCTCCCTTACGGGAGGTCTCGGGTTCGAAACTCAATGGAGTGAGTTTGAGTGTAGATTACTCCAGGCTCCCCCAACCCCCCTCCCCCAGAAGTCCCCTGGAGTATAAAAAAGGTGTAGTTAATTGTTTTACTAGTATATTGATTCTAATACGTACAAACGAATAAGTTATGCATTTGTTGTTTAAGACTTATTTGGTGTAAATTAATTATTACGAGTATATAAGTAAGAATTTAACCTTTTTTAGGACAAACATGTCCAGAAAATCTAAAACCTCTAAAAGCAATTTTGTAGCTTTTGGAAACCAAATAAAAGCTTTAAACCTTTTAGAATGATGTGAAGCTCCCAATAGAGTGCATCCAAATGACACATAAGATGCATTTAGGGCATCTAAAAGCTCTAAATGATGAAGACTCTCCAAAACGAAGCCTAGTTATGTGACCCTATATGAATCAATAATAAAAGTGCATAATACAATATAAGAGAGGAATACCTTGGATTAGCATTCCCCTTTACCACCTTTTGCCCATATTTACGCCACTTATATCCATCATCCAAATGGTCAACAACACTTCTCCTCTGCAAAACAATCTTGGGCTCCGTGATGGTCTTATGCAATGGAGGTTGAACAGATGAGCCAACCTCTAAACACCTGCACTCAAGAGAAACTTAATACTAGGATCAGTATTTTGAGGGCCTCTTTTTAAGGAGGGTGGATATATAAATGGAGACAACATTCAAAACTTTTGTCCTGTCATTCTCTGACGAAGAAAAGAAGTACAACGGATAGAAAAATAAATGAAAAGTTAATTATCACTCACTCCCAATGTTTGGTAAAATTACCAAATGACCCTTGAGGTTTACAGAAAAACTAAGAACTGAAGCAGTCAGATTTTCAACAAAAGACCTTTAAAATAGAGAGATTATGTAATATAATGATATTAATCATGAATATGCATCCTCAATTCTTCGTATTGACCTTGAAGTTTTTCCATCATTTACCATGGAGCCAAAGACTCACTATGTTTTGGCTTGGGAATATGATGGAATAAAACAAAATGGCTCACTAAATTGTTTGCGCTTCTTTGTTATAAAGCAGCAGTTAGTCCATGCAATTTTCGACGCAATTATCATCATGGGTCACCTGGAATCAGTCTCTTTGTGCTGTAGTACTAGGCTAATGTTGTTGTTGTTGTAATATTCAAAAAACTCATCTAGGCAAAAGTGGAGTACCTATTTAGTCCGTAAAAATTCAATCCCAACTAATACTATTATATCCTATCATCATTGAATATCCTTTGTAGAAAATTATAAAGGGGGTTATTTGTAATTTTAAGAAGCCGTGAGAGTCATTTGGTAATTGATTTGACCAAACATTGTGGGACGCAGATGTAATAAACCCAACAAATGAAACATATCAAAGGCATACTTTGTCTCTGCATTTGGTTCAACATCATCCTCTTCATCCAACACTGTAGCTGTTTCCTCCATTTCATGGCTTTTACAAGCCACTATAAGTTGTTTGGTGGACATCTCCAATTCATCACTCTTGCATTCATCTTGCTTTCGCTTATTGGGCTTGGGAAGTTCATGGTTGTGCTCCCCTTTGTATGTGGTCTCAACAATGCGCCCATCTGATGACCGCTCAATTTTCTTTTTAACAGCACAGTCCGAACGCGTGCATCTATAGTAGCTTCGAGGACATTCACTTCCCTTGACGAACTTCTGCCCATATTTCCTCCAATTATAACCATCACTAGCAGGTTTCTCAAAAGCAATAGATTTTAGTTTAGTGTCTGGTGTCTCGCCATTCAAATGTTGATCATAGGCAGCTTGCATTTGTTTGTAATAGAGGTTATATGATGCCTGAGCTGTGACATAAGCGAGAGCTTGCTGGTGGGACATTCCCAAAGGGCTCTGCTTCAAATTCAAAAGACATAATGACAAACCACCCGCGCTGCTAGTGAATGAACATGGAAGAATTACTATGACCAAGTTTAAAATAATAAACTGCTACATAATACGAAGTATATAAGATATTGGACTATATTTTCCTATCAAATTGACATTTTATGATAGAACACTCAGTATAAGAAATATGAAACAATATGTAGTCCAGACAAGGTGTTGATGTGTTTAGCTTTGAAAAATTAACATGTAACATGTTGATCTACTCCTCTTACAAGATTGACCCTTTATGATCAAACCAAGTCTTAATAAGCATGGTGTTCTCAATAACTAGGTCACTGCTGATAGATGAAGAAACTTCTGAGGAAGCATGCTCATTTTCCACAAAAACCGGCCGACACTAATAGCAGTGGCCCATTTTGTACACAGATATTATTTTGCCCTTCCCCATTAGTTCGGAAGTTAGGGAAAACTGCATTGTTTGGTACAAAGAAAAACAACATAAGCGGCTAAGCACCCCACTCGATATTTTCTTTTTGACAGTAGATTAGAAAAAAACTTGGATACAATGGGACAGTATCACCCCATGATCCATGAAATTTGGTTGTCGTGTTATTCCTTTCCTCTTATTTTTCTTATAACAAATGTGTCATAGCCGTCCTAAATCTTGAAACACAAAATAAACAAAAAAGAAGTCCAGTATGCCTTTCAAGAAACGGGGAATACTGAATATTCAAGACCCCATTCAATGTCGCCAATTTTATATTCTATGGATTTAAAATGGGTATGATTTAAGTGATATAATGAACTAAAAAAATGTACTTATAGTAATCATGTTGATTTTAAAAACCCAACAAAGAACTGAAAAAACCCTTTGTCTAGTTTTCAGAATTTTGTTTCTAGTTTAAAAAAAAAAACAGAAAATCAAAATAAAGAACGAGGAGAAGTGAATTTTCTTGGCAACTTACACAGAAAAAAATCGGCTTTCCAAAAAGCAGTTTCATTTTTTCTATTTTCGTGGAGCATTTATCTTAGAACAACTAATATATATCCAGAGCAGCATTTTACACGCAAAATCCAGAAACTGAGAAGCATATCTAACATGTAAAGATCAAAGGCCTTTAGTAACTAGAGAGTACCTTATTAGTGGATTGAAAAAAAAAAATCAACAAATTACCTGAAGTGGGGAAACAAAAATGGGTGAGTTGACCGACCCGGAAGGACTAAACCGGGGCGAGACCATGAACGAGGGCGAGTTGGCCACCGGCGGGTTCAGAGGGCTATGGGCTAAAAGACTCTGCTTTGCAAGTGGGGAAGCCATGGCTCCGGCGAGTAACTGAGAGAAAGAGCAGCCATGGGAATCGGAGCAGAAGCTGGACTTGAGAGTGGTGGGTCCGGCTGGGCTGAAACCGGGTGCGGGCCCCACGGAGAAGAGGGTCTCGGTAGGGGGTCGGGGTGGGACCGTAAGGGCTAGGCGCGAATGGCCGGAAACTGCAGAAACTCCCTCTGAGCTTTCACCCATTCCGGCGATATCTCCTTTTTGCGCACTTTACTTTAAAAATTAAACTGCCACTCCACTCTCTGCTATTGGGGTACTGCTTTTGGCGGGCTGATTATGGAAAGAAATCAATAATTTTGCCGATGATCTAGTGAATTCAATCACATGTGATTCATCTATTCTTACTAAATTAGTAACTGTGTAGTTATTTGACTCAATCTCACAAATTTAACAGTTAAAATGAAAAAAAAATTGATAAAGTGGATGAAAAACTACAGTATTAAAAGTAAAAAAGAAAAAAGATAAACATAAAGATGAAAATAGGATGAACATAAGGAACATAGGAATATAAATAAACTAATATCTTTACTCGTGTCGTACATGGATAAAATGATTTTGTTGTTTAGTTTTAGGATGTTTTCTTTTGGACTGGAATTTGCTGGTCTGGTCTGGTCTGGTCTGTTTAAGTCTGGTCTGGTCTGGTCTGGTCTGTTTATGTCTGGTCTGGTCTGGTCTGGTCTGAATTGGTCTGGTCTGGTCTGGTAAACGTCTGGTCTCTGTGTATTTTATAACTACGGAAGTCTGGTCTGGTCTGGTCTGGTCTGGTCTGTTTAAGTCTGGTCTGGTCTGGTCTGGTCTATTTAAGTCTGGTCTGGTCTGGTCTGGTCTATTTAAGTCTGGTCTGGTCTGGTCTGGGACTGAAAACAGTCCAAAAGAAAACATCCTTATTAACGGAAAACCACTTGTTTAGTCGATTATAACATTGATTTAAAATGCATATTCTAATTTATTGAGAATGACTTACGTTTAAATTAATTATCTAAACATGTTTTCAGTCCATATTCTCCAATGAAAATGACATATTTTTTTAAAACTTACAATAACATCCAATTGAAATTAATCTATTTTTATCTAAACAAAAACAAATTGTTCAATGTCTATTTTTATCCATTAAATTTCATTCATCTTACTGTTTTTTTAAAACTAATTACACATTTTTGTAACTTATTTATCTGAAAATGGGTGTAGTCGATTTGTTTTAAAGATATTAGCCCTTCTAGACTTTAGAAATTTTCAAATTAGTCTTTTGATCTATTTCTTTAAGAAAAGAGTTTAGAATATATAGTTTTGTGACATTCTGATTTTAATGAAGGTGATGTCGGTGACAATAGACTGCATATTGTGCTTGGCGGTACGGTGATCAATTTATTATTCAATATATGTGATCTTATTAAGTAAAATAATTACTCTCTTCGTCCCCCTAACTTTGTTCCGTTTTACCTTTTTGCGTCCGTCTCATTAAATTTGTCATATACCATATTTGATAATATTTAAGTTGTTAGAATCTATTCTTACTTTATTCACACTTTATCAATTCAATATCAACCACAAAATTCTACATTTTCTTAAAAATCACACCCTCCCCCTTTGTCCCGAACTTGTCCTAGACTTAGGGGGCGGAGGTAGTATTATTGAAGAAGTAAAATTGCATGCTTTAGACTTTAATAGACAATTTTTACTTAGAAGAAGGTTAGATGAATGAAACTTATAAAAGATTCTCATCACATCAGGGGTAGCTGAAATCGAAACACAAACATTTCAAAATATGCAATGAAAAATAAAAAGACAAATGCCTCATATTCAGAAACGAAAATGATCACAATTTTCATGACCAAGTAGTACTATATTAAAGTTACATCCATGAGTAAGAGAATTACTCTGTACCTTTTATATACGATCTAGCTTATTTATCTAGCTCTTAAACACAACTTTTAGTGTCGTGATATGATTGTTATATATGTAATTAATAAAACTTTTCGGGAGTTGAAACTCTCGCCCAAAATATATCAAGATTATATTAATACATACAAACTACAAAATAACTTTTAATTTCATAAATGATATCAAAAAATTGATTCCAATTGAAAATATCCTTAATTAGAAAGGTGGACATAAATTTGAGATAACATTAAGAAATGGTTTGGGGGTGCTTAAAAGATTTTTATTCTCTTGTATTTCACTTTCATTTCTATTTAGTACTTGTAGTTATTATATTGAATTAAATAGTATATAAAATGTTATTTATTTTACTAGTCATATGATTATACCATCCTATCATTTCCATCACCTTCTACATCATTAATTCTTTTCTTTTACTCTACTTACTACAACCTTCCATCTTATTGATATTTTTTGGTCCCCTACTCACTTTAGTTTCAAATTTGTCATTTCATTTCCACATTCTTATACGGAAATCAGAATAGAATTTTCACACCCTTATTTAAAGAGATTGTGTATCAACTTCTAAGGGTTCACCATTGAACACGGAATGTATATCTTCGAGGTGATTGGAATGGACTATTTGTGTTGTGGATTTTCAATTTTGTCTCGTATAAGACTTTTAGGTTTCTGATTTTCATGTAAACAATACGTATTAAATGAAGGAATTACTTTAAACACATTAATTCGGGTGATATACATAGAAATAGGATGAACATATAAGGAACATAGAAATATAAATAAATTACTTCCTTCGTTCTTTAATTCTTTAATTCTTGCAACATTGTGAATTTTGCACTATTCACAGACCTTACTTTGGTCACGATTTTCTACTTATATACATAATCAAATTATTAATATTTATTAATACATAATTAAATATAATTACAGTCAAAGTTATGTGTTGACAAACGTAAAAGTCAAACAGTTGCAAGAATTAAATAACACAGGATACTACTTGAAAAGCTCCATAAAAATATTGAACAACTAATAAAAACATGGAAAACAAAGTCTTTAAGGGTATGTTTGCAAACAATTAAAAAAAGTGATTTTTGGTTTTTGGATTGAAAAGCTATTAAAAAAAAGTGTTTCGAGTAACAGCTTATTCTTAAACTAAGGGAAAAATAATAAAAATACTCCAAACTTTGAAGGGGGTGTGAGGTAAACACCCCAAACTTGCATATGTAATTTAAAAATTCCAAACTTTATACTAAGTATAAAAAGTTATTTTCGCGCCATTATCATGTATTATTTCTTTCAAAATGTGAATTTATGAAGTTAATTGCATAATTTAAAATAGAAAATTAAAAGTGTTGCAATTATATAGACTGGGATAACATTATTTATTTCGCAATGGAAATTTAGAATGTCAATTGTGTCTTCATGAATTCTAGAATATTTTAAATTATGCAATTAGCACCATAAATTAACATTTTTGAAAGAAAATAATATTTGACTATGGTGCTAAAATAACTTTTGATATAAAGTTTGGGGTATTTAAATTACATATGCAAGTTGGGATAAGGGTCAGATAGGGCCTCGAACTCGAAAAAAATGTCAAATAAGGTCATATTTAGGATGCTCTGTCCGGCCGACGCCATTTGGGGTGGTTCCCGATGGAATTTTTTGATGAAATTTTTTGAGCATCTTCCTCATTAAGTCTAGTTTACTCATACCAAATTTCACCTAAAAATGCAACCGGGAAGGTAGTCAAATCATTTTCCGAAATGTACGGGGTTGTTTAACTTCACAATTATCTTCAAAAAATTATTTGACTACCTTCCCGGTTGAATTTTTAGCTGAAATTTGGTATGGGTAAACTAGACTTAATGAGGAAGATGCTCAAAAAAATTCATCAAAAAATGGCATCTGGAACCGCCCCAAATGGCGTCGGCCGGACAGAGCATCCTAAATATGACCTTATTTGACATTTTTTTTCGAGTTCGAGGCCCTATCTGACCCTTATCCCATGCAAGTTTGAGGTGTTCATCTCGCATCCCTTCAAAGTTTGAGATATTTTAATTATTTTTCCCTTAAACTAAACACATAAAAGTTAAAAGCTAGAATCTGTTTTTATTTTTCTGCTACACAAAAATCAAATAGTTTAACAAAAACTACTAACTTTTACTTTTCAGAATCATTTTTTTCTAATACACTAATAACTTTTACTTTTTTTTGAAAGTACTACTAACTTTTACTATTAAGTACTATTTTCAAAATCACTTTAAATATTATTTTTTTCAAAGCAGAAACAATGGCAAACACTTCCTAAGAGATGTATCAAGCTCGATAAAAATATCGAACAACTAATAAAAATATGGAAAATATAGACTCTTTGTTTGGAAATTTATGTTTTGAGTTTATAGCCATCTTTTCTATTAAACATGTAACTTTTATTTTCATGTGTTGAAGTGTGTAGTAATCAAGATAAGTAAGTTTAAAGTTACTTTCTGACTGAATTGGCTAAAGTAACTGTAAAGAACTAAATTATTATTATTTTCATAAAAAAAAAATCATAATTTTATCACTAAAATGTATTTTAATTAAACGTGGAGTATTTTTTTACATTTCAACAAATTCAACCAATTTAACCGTTTTAATTAGAATTTTTACAATTTCATCATATTCATCCAATTTTGATGTTATTTATTAGAATCTAAGTCTTTTGATACTATAGTATATTTTAAATTGCAAAGTTAGAATGGTTTTACTTGGACTGAAATTTGATTTGATTTGAAATGATCTTATGATACTATAGTATATTTTAAATTGCAAAGTTAGAATGTTTTTACTTGGACTGAAATTTGATTTGATTTGGAATGATCTAATTTGATATGATCTGGACCAATTATTCATATGACCTCTTTTCTCAAGAGAATTAGATCACAGCTCACTGAATCCTTAAAGTATAAAGTGCCAACGACCAGTTCATCGTATAAAGAAGGTTGTAGTTGATCTTACGGAAAAGTGGTTTAAAATCTTTAAAATGTCACTTATGATCGAAATCGGTAAATATTCATCTTAAGAATATGTTTCATTATATGTATCCAATTTGTAATAGACCACATGAAAGCCATAGATATATTAACACATACTTCGTATAAGCTACAGAGTACAGATGGTCTCAAAAGATTAAATAAAGATGAAATAAATAATGTCATTCGTCATACATTCTGCACTGTCAATCTGTCATCCATACCACCAGTAAAAGAAACGATGGGGAAGATACAACATCAGGTGGTGGATATAATTTACACATCAGAGAATTCTAAAATTATCTCCTAATCAATCAAGTTTGAAGTGTCCATTGTCTGGATTGTTGTTTTGGTGCTTTGCATAGCCAAATCTTCACCACGCTGTTTCGGTTTATGAGACTGAACATATTCTTCGATTTTGGCCTTCAGCTCAGTGTTCGGAATCAACATATCCACAGTTAGATGAGAACGGTTGAATGGATCCGACTGTAATCCAGAAAATCCCAAGCACAAAAACAGTCAAACACCGAGTTCCGACTAATGTACCATACAAATTAGTCAATTTGGTAACAAAATGACAACTATGGCTGAATTTTCTTTAAAATGCATTTCAGGTCTTGTTTGGTGAGGTGTAACTAGCTGAAATGGCTGGACCAACAGAAATCTGCTTATATGCAGAATAACAAAAGGCAAGAACTACCTACCAAGCGCAGCCTAAAATATATTTCTGGATAAATTAATTATAATAATATCTTAAAATGAGGCTAGAAGTGTCATATATGTTCATAACTACAAAAACAACTTTTGCACTACTTTTTCATCACCAACAGATCCGCAGAAGCATCAAATAAGTAGAGTGTTTCGTAGAAAACGTGACTGATAAGCAGACAAGGCATGATACCAAATGGGCACTCAACATAAGAAAGATAGAAGATAAACATACACTATCACTTAGAAGATGCCTCTGAATGACAGGCATGTCGACCGTGATCTTAGATGACGGGAGGATAACAGGATCCCTCATTAATGTATACTGCATACACCCAAATGAAGACATTATGAAGAACAGCTCAAAAAAACTGTCAGGTGTAATTAAACAAAGTATATGCATAAAAACAATGACTGAAATGGGTATGAAAGAAACAAACTTGAATAGGATCAAGGAATTCATCAGGAATATCTCCGAGAGCAGCTTCAGTGTCCATGGCTTCTGATTCTGCAACTTTGGCTTTAGCACCAAGGTCCATAAACTCATCTATGATCCTTCCATCTTCACCAATTCTTCTAAGGACATCAGCAGCAGCACTGAACAACTATAAAGAAATTCAATCAGATCAAAAGTTGGCCATGGGTGGGTAATTATAGATTCAGACAAGTAAATACTTTCATATCAACTAAAATACCTGTTCATTGTATGAACGACCATCTTTAGTGATTGCAGTTGGGAAGATGTTCTTCGTATCTCCTCTAGCCAAGTGCACATATATTTTGACAATCTTCAAAAACCCACATTTTTTGCAACATTTTTTGGCAAAGATTCAGATAAGTAATGGCTGCATAGCTGTACTAATTATTTGAAGATTTAAGAGCTACATGTATGCAAACCTGTTTTAATAGCTCCTTTGGTCGAAATTCATACTTTTCCGGGTCTTTTAAGCTTAGTGATTTTCTCTGTGGGCCGACTAGTTGTAAAAGAAAGTAATTCAGCATGCTGGCAACTCTCTCCACCTAGAAAAAATAACAAGCAATATGGTTGGGTCAAAAACCATTATCAACTCTGCCAACTTTGGCAACAAATTAGAAAGCAAAAGATACCATCTCAGGAAGTAGGAAAGGGGCTGTAATTTGTTCTGAAGTAAATGCCAGCATGCTCACATCTTCATTTGCCAGCTTCATATCAATTCGAATGATCTAAAAATAACCAGACCTTTCACTTCATCAAATTTTTTATTTTAAAAAAAAAACTGAAAACAGTTCTTAAAGGATGAAAAAACTGACATTCTCCTGAGAGTGGAAGAGTCGAGTCCTCTCCTGTCTCTCTTGTGGTGTTCTTTGGTCCCACTCTACTCTATTAGACATCTCAGCTTCCAGTTCTTTTATTTCAAGAATTTTATTAAGACTCTCATCAAGAAGATAAATGCTATCATTGATCAAGAAGTTCAAGAAATTCAAATAGACGCCCTTCTCTTCTTCTTTAGCAATCTAGAATAGCATAGCAACTTCAATTAGTCATCTTATAAGTTATAACCCCAGCATTATCAAAGAAAGCATGGTAGGGTGGATTTAAAAAAAGTAAAAATAAAAAAGAACTGTCTCATGGTTGACCGAACCTGTCTCCATGCATTGCGATGGCTTGGAACATGCCACAAGTACTCAAGAAGTTCGGCAATATTGTGACGGATATTGAACTTGTCATAGAACTGCACAGAAAATAGCAGGGCGTCATTGGAATCAGAAGTAGTAAGGTAAACAGATGTAATAGTGATACAACATAACAATATAACATCGTGTAATTGTTCTATTCATTATAACAGCTTCTAATAAATTCCATTCTCTAGGCCAATGGAATGCTTCATCATTTTCAATTTCAGAACTAGTCTAGCAGAGAATTTAAAATTTTCAATTGAAATGCGACCTTTCAATCCACGGAGAGGAGACTAATTAATATAAGAACCCTCACCTGAGTATGGGAACCTGTGAATTCAATATCAACATAGAGCTTCAAGAGATTCCGCACAAGATACTCCAGAGAAAGTTGGTGCCCCTCAAACAATGTTGCTGTTGCAGATGAGCCACTGCAAAATGAATTCCATTAGGCAGTGGCTACCAAAAGATAAATATAGTCTTATTGAAAACGATCCAAATAAGAGCACATCTTTCATCTTGAATGGGTTTACGATACCACCTTCTACGGGGCATCCAACAGTTAAGGACTTCCACCATCTTTGCTCTTAAATATGGGTTTCTAATATACTGTGGGCTTCCCATGAACATGATGATGAAGTTCATAAAGTCATCCTGTCATGTCATACAACTATTATTTGCGATAAAGACTCAAAGATAACATCATAGTCCATAGAAATGAGATATTCAACCTACCAAAAGTACACCATCCAAAGCTCTAGGTATTCTAGAAGAAAAAATAAGCAATTCCATGGCATCTTCAACAAAGTGCTCCGGCAAGGATGCAAATTCCATGGGGCAAGATGATGGTAGAGGCATACGGAATCCACCAACAAGGTTAACCAACCAAACAACCATTAACCTATAGAATGACAACGCCCATTGAATAAGCCCTCCATCCTGAAAATGAAAAAGACCATATGCTTTTAAGCAGCAATTACAGATAATAGAAAAGTAATACTTCCAAGTAGAAGCAAATACATACCCTGAGTATTTGAGCTTCATAGCATAGCTTCTCCTGATTTAAAAACTCGAGTTCTTTCTCAAGGCGTGCTATGTCATTCTGAAACTGTGGAGCTTGTGATTGTTCTCCCATGGCTTTAAAAGTAGATAAATTATCTTCACATCTTGAAATGTCCTGGCAGAGATCTTACGTGATTAACAAAACAAACTGTTTTCACTCTATAAGACAACAAATCAACATCCCTGCTAGGATATTGTGTGATCTATATTCTCACAAACATAGATTAGATGCCTCATTAAAATATGTGCTTTTCTCACCTGAACGAGATGCTTGAAGTCAGAAAATGCTTTTAACAAGCCTAGATTAAGTACCCTTGCAGTCATGAAGAAGCACTCGCAAATGAATGAGTATTTATCTTTCTCAGTATTATTGCCTGAGCTTGAAGCTTCCTGAGATAATAACAACCTGAACTCTCCACCGCTACTATCTTTAGATGCCTCTGTTTTCCCAGGACTATTTCTACTTATCCATTCAGAGACTTCTTCAGATGAGGCGTTTAGACAAGTTAACTCCCTGGTGTTGGTAACAGGGGGGCAATAAATAAAAGAGTTATAGTCAATAAAAAGAAAAGGCTGGATGGGAAAAAAGGCCAGTATTGAAGGTCAGATAAGAGTTGAAAGATGATTTAACCTCAATTCCAAACGCTCACTGAAAAAGACATAGCTCGGATCAATCTTGTCCCTTTTTGACAAGCTGTGATCTAAAAATGGCTCACAAAGGCGAAGCATAACTGCACTGAGATTAACAAACATGCCCGAACTAGCACATGATAATGGATCAACCTGCCATCAGATTAGTCATAGAAAAATTCAAATTATAACCTTGAGTGGAGAAAAGATGAAAACCAAAACATAAGTATTGGAGATGAAGCATCTTAAGTATAGTATATCATCTCTAGATTAAATTACATGCATAAGAGCCATTATGTGATCTTTCACAATTTGGTGCAATCTGGGGTATTTTCAAATCAGATATAAATTTACCTGAATATGAGCCCTCGACGCATTCTTGTTAACCACAAGTGCAATATATTCAAGAACGTTGTCACGGGTGTTTATATTCTTAAGGAGACACTTGATCACTTCTGTCAAGCCATCATATAAGTTGTTCATGACGGTTTTGATTGTTGTGAATGAAGACAATAGATCAGCTGGACGACGTGTTGAAGCATCTGAGAAGCACTGCTGGCTGGTATATCAAGCAGGTAAAGGATTCATTAGCTCCATAACCTTCTTTGGCAAGAGAAGCATGCAACAAACCAAGTGAATCATAATGTTTATAATCACATCCACTTGCAATATGTATTCTAGATAAGCATATAGTTAAAGTATGTAAAAAAGGTATTAACTGTCTTTTTGATAAACTGAGTTGCTTAAACCTTGTTACTGATTCCTTCCTCATTTAGTACCATGCAAATGATGACAGGTTTCTATTTAATTGAAACTAAGTCATATTACTATATGAGGAAAGAACAAAAAACTCACCCAACATCAGGCAGACTTTTAAATAATGTATTATCAGGCATAGCACTGACATGAAAGAATGGGCCCAAAATGCTGGTCATCTCTATGACTCTCCCATTCATATACACATTTTTTGGTATCCACCAAGGATGACTCACCAGACACTTCGCCCCCACTGGATACTTGAGCAATAGCAACAAAGCTCGGAGTGGCTGCTGAAAATCTCCTAAAGCTGATACCTTGAGAACACTTCCTCTCAAATCCTCATACAACTGTTTCATAATCGGGTCTATACTATCAAAATCCCCATCTTTAAAGAAATCGTCAAGAAACCCAGGGGGGCAAGTCAATCCACCGCTGCTACCGCTTCCCCCATAGCCATCCCCTGCAAGGGAAACTTCCGAGAAGATCAAAGGCAGCAAAGGAGAAACATTGGGCTTGTTCGTTTCCCAATTCGGAAACATGCCCGGGTTCCCTAAATGTATTATACAGTAGGAGACTGCTAACTTCTTTGCTTGTCTCACAACGATTTCCATCTGAGATCTCACAGACTTGTCCTTCATGTTGGCAAATTTCTTCCCTTCATCATGGGCTCGACGGTAGCAATTAACTAAATACAAGAATGGCGGCTCTGCAGCAACAACCTTTTCAGAGAGACGATCTATCAGGACTCTCTCCATCAAATCCCTAGACAACCTCAAATCCTTCCCCTCGCTGAGTACCTCGGCAGCTGTCATTTCCAAATAAACAACCCGAGAATCACTTTCCATTGAATCGATCAATGATACGAGGAAGATTTTCCGGATGACTATATCCTCGATTTCTTCCGGCGTCCTCTGAGGTCTCTGAGTCGCCATAGGTCAACAATCCAAACACCCAAAGAGAACAGATAAACTAATAATTGAAGATCGAAACTACCAGCACCGAATGTCGCTTTGATCAAAGCACAAGGTTAATATCGCATGAATCTAGTGTCATATCCATGTGTATCTCTACACAACATCCGTAAATACAGATACAAGAGCGTAGACATGAACAATCATATCATAATAGTATAATAATAATAAAATAAACAATAAAAAGGTCGAGCTTTAAATAATAAAGAACCACAAATTATAGAACAGAGAGGGTGAAAGTATCTGGGACAGCTAAACTACAAATTACGACCGGAACTAAGCAATATTTTGTGAACTGCAAATCATAGTGACTAGTGAGAGAGCGTTGAAGATCGGAATTTCATAAACACTAATCCGGATTAAGTAAGGTCTCATCCGCAGTTTACTCAACCGTGCTGGGATAAGGAAAACTTATCAAAAGGGCTCAAGTGAATAAAAGAAAAGTTAAAAAAAAAAAGGTTTCCTATTCCTCCGTAATAAAAGGAGTGTTTGAGATTACTTATAAAAAAAGAGCTTTTAGCATTTGGCTTAAAAAAAGCTGAAAAGAGTGTTTTCAAATGACAGCTTCTGCTTAAATTAATCACTTAAAAGCTAAAAGCTGGAAGCAGGTAGAAGGGTGCTTTAAACTGCTTCTCACTTTTTCTATTACACAAAAAGTACTTATTTTACCAAACACTATCAACTTTTACTTTTTCAGAATCATTTTTTTCTCAAACACTACCACCTTTTACTATTAATCACTTTTCCCAAAATCACTTTTTTAAAGTTGAAGCAATTGCAAACACTCCCTAAGACAGTGTTTGCAAAAGATTAAAAAAACGCTTTTCAGCTTCTGGGTTAAAAAAAGTAGAAATCAGTGTTTGCAAACTCCTACTTCTACTTAAAAAAAGCACTTTAAAGCCAAAAGCTGGAAGCTGGTATTTGGCTGCTTCTAACTGCTTCTAGGTTTTTTTTGTAAATAAAGCAAACCCCAAGGGCATTAATAATGACAAATTTATTGATCCAAAACCCAAAAAGCCCTTCTTCTTCCACATCCTCCAACGCTTTGCTGCAACTGTCTGACTCCATTTCAAGTTCTATTTTGCTTCCTTTATATATTTATAATTATATATATTATGTATACAAAAATTGCAAACATCAGAAGAAATCAGACATCGGAACCCTCCTCTTCGCTTCTCACTGCAACTGCTTCGTGGCTCTCATGCTCCCACAATCGAGAAAATTAAAAATTGATATTCTTCATCTTTAGATACATGAATATATATACTCGTATATATATACACACACTATGCTAGCATCCATTGAATAGAAATACGCTATTACCAGGAAGCACCGTCTCTACGAGCACCGCCCCAATATCCCCAATTCCTATTTGTATGTAATATATAGAAGGTTATTTTTGTACTTTAACAAATTAATACCTCAAAAAAGCACTTTTTTTATCAAAAATTCCAACTTTTACCTTTTAATAAAAATCACTTCTATTTTCAAACACTATTCACTTTTACTTAAAATCATTTTTCCAATAATATCTTTAAAAAATCACTTTTAAAAAGCAGAAGCAATCGCAAACACTCCCTAAGAGAGTGAGTAGTCTTGATATATTTGTCACATTTAAAGAAATACGATAGTACATTTTTTATCTTTTCAGTAACTTAAGTTTTTAATAACTGAAAATATTTTAAAAGAAAAAAAATATTTGGATAAATTGGGATAAATTTTTACTTTGGGGGTCGGGTAGAGAAGGACTGAGGGTTGGGATAAATTGGGATCAAACTAATTCCATTGAGTATTGAATTTGGGACCTCCCATAAACAGAGTGAGTCGGCGATCAGCTGAGCGAGACCTCCCAAAATGGTTGGAATCACTATTCAGTGTAACTTCTCAAAAAAAGATCTTTTATTTTAACAAAAACTTTTAAAAATTATCGCGTCAAATATATAACTAGAAGTTTTTAAGAAGTTTTTAAATAATAGACATAGTCCTAGAACGTAAGGATTTATGCCTATCAAATTAAAAATGCTCATAGCCTCTCAATGGGCGGCTTTAGACGTGGACCCAACTTGAACGGTCAGACTCTATTGGGTTTAAATTTTACTAGTCAGCCAACTCGTACATTGCACATATAACATACTTCTCTAGGTCTGGGACCGGTTCGGTTCCTAGGCCAAATATGTGGAACCGTTTGAAAATATGAAATTTTACTAACGATTCGGTTCTTATAAATTATTTTATAGAATCGATAAGGAACCGAACCGTTCTTGACGGTTCGGTTCTTGTCATTTAACGGTTCCTAGTCTCCGAAAAAATTCTTACAAATCATGACTAAATTTTTGCCAAAAAGACATTCTACGTTTGAAATTACGATACAAATATGCTTAAACAGTTAAAGAGAATAATAATTTTAAATACTTGGAGCCTCAAAGTTCCGACCCACTGGAGTTTGGACCTAATGAGAGGCCTAAGAAGCCTAAGAGAACCGGTTGAAGTGAATAATAGTTTTAAATAGTTGAATAACTAAACAAAAATAATGAATGTAATATAAAAATAAGTAAGTAAATATACATTAAAATATATATGCTCATAAGAAATATATATAATTTTAATTATTATATATAACGGTTCCTTAACGGTTCCTAGTACATATTTTTTTCAGGAACCGAGAACCGAACCATTAATAAAAAATAGGAACCGAACCGTTAAAAAATAACTAATAAATGTTGGAACCGAACCGAACCGGGTCATAACGGTTCGGTCCGGTTCGGTTCTCCGGTTCTTGGTTCCAAAGTCCCAGCCCTATACTTCTCCGTATTTTTTTGTTTGCTACACTTTTCTTTTTTGGATATATTCAAAAATTTGTTACACTTTCCCTTTTTGGTAAATTTTCTTTTAAAAACACTCAACTACCCTTACTTTTTCTATTTTTTATCTTCTTTTTCATACTCTTCCACCATATCTCCTACTTTTTCTACACGATTCATTACCTCTACTATTTCACTCTTACAAAAATTTGCCAACACTTATTGTAACAAACAAAAAATAGAGAGGGAGTATGAAATTATTTTATTTTTGAAAATAATTAATGCATTATCAATGTCTATATATATACTTATCATATAAAATATAAATCATGATATAGAATTATGCGAAGTATTAGAATACATGTCTGGTTATTGTTTTTACAATATGTATGATAATTGTTAGAAATACACTAATTACTATAAGTCATCAAATAAACATAATTCCATCCCTATATGTTTATGTGGATTATAACATTTTTACTTTAACAAATAATCTTAATAATTACACTATCAAAGTTTTGCACAAATTGTTGTAAGAAAATAAAAACGATAACCCATTGGGTAAATTACGCATAAATAAACGGTAAATAATGAGAGGAACCACACGTAAATATGTTATCCTAACGCATTAATAAGGTATCACAACACTCACCTATATATACTTTTTCAAATATGTTGTTATAAATATTATTGTTTATTGTTGTACAATTAATGTCTAGTTATAATAAGTTCAATTTATGAACGTTAAAATGCATTTAGTAAAATCATATTCCATTTGTATGAATTCAGTACGGTTGAATAGTTTTTGAAAATTTACTTATTTGCTAATTGGTAGATATAGTAGAATTATATGAATACATTCATTTTTATTTTATTTAGCAGCTAATTTTCAATAATAATTACTTCCCCGTAAAACTTTGCTAATTACTTGCCACATTATTGTGGTATCATAGCATTCACCTATTTATACCCTTTTAAATGTGTTGTTATAAAATATATATTATTGTTTATTGTTGTACAATTAACGTCTTGTTCAAATAAGTTCAATTTATGATTTTTATATTGCATTTAGCAAAATCATATTCCATTTGGGTGGATTCAGTTCGATTGAATAATTTTTTAAAAAATGCCTATTTGCTAATTGATAGATATAGTAGAATTATATGAATATATTCTTTTTTATTTTACTCAACAACTGATTTTCAATAATAATTACCCCGTAAAACTTTGCTAATATTTTTTTCTATACAAAGTAACACCTTTTGTGGTTAAAGTTATTTTTCACTTTCTAAGAGTGCATACGAGCAAAACTAAGTAAATAAGAAGAATCAATGATCTCTCCCTAGTCGTCTTGGGTTTTGCCGTTACTTTCACTGTTCAAGTGGAAAGTTTGCCATCTGATTCTGCTGTCGCCATGGCGGAGGGTATGGAGGAAATATATACACGGATGAATCTAAATGATGAGGAAGAGGAAGGGGTGGACTTGGACGAAGTTTTGGGAGATGAGGTGCGGGTTGAGTCACCATTGTGCATGGTCGAGAGGTGTAACACCCCGGCCCCGCAGGACCTGAGGTAGTTACTACAGACCTCTAGTACTGCCCTCACAAACCACCACGAGCCTTTACCGCGCACTTTGCCCTCACTCATGCGCGCCCTGAGAAACTTCTCAGGGGTCACCCACCCAAGACTACTCCTGTTCAAGCACTCTTAACTTTGCAGTTCTTGGGTGATGAGCTCCCTTAAAAGGAGATGCATCTCTGTTGGTATGAGTAGTACTATTAATCCTCTTAAATTAATCTTGGGTATTACAAAAGGCTACTTACAGATAGGATGATCAAGTTTCCTTTTTCAGAGATACAATGGCTGATGTCTGGCGTCCGGGGGAGGCGTGAATTTGGAGAACGCATGTTTCTTCTGAAGTTCTATAGCAATGTTGATTTTGAAAGAGTATGGGTAGATGGCCCTTGGTTTTTTGACAATTCTCTGCTAATTCTTCACAAGGTGGAGCCCACATATAACCCAACTCTAATTCCTTTGACTCACCTGCTGTTTTGGATACACGCATACAATATACCTTTTGAACTTTTCACAGAGAAAGTTGCCAAGATCATTGGCAATCAGGTCGGTTCTTTTGTTTCCGTTGATGGTGATAATTTTAAATGGGGTTGGCAAGAGTTCATGCGGATTAGGGTCTCAATTGATGTGGGTGTTCCCTTCAAATGTCGAGTAAAACTCAAGCGGGGAGGTGAAGCCATTTGGATTGATTTGAAGTACGAGAGGTTGCCGCACTTTTGCTTTATATGTGGCCTTATGAATCATACGGATCGCATGTGTCCTAGACGTTTTGTATTCGCAGAAGAAGGGAAGGAAAAGGCTTACAGAGGATGGCTACGGAATGGAAATAAAAAAGGAGGTTTGAGTAAGGGCAGTAGGTGGCTGGTTAGCGAGGCAGACCAGTTTATACATGGGGGTCCCTCTAGCTGTATGCAGGTGGGTAGCAACAATAATATTCAGAATTGAAGGAAGAAGTCATGGAAGTCTTGCTGCAGGAAGAGGGGGTCTCAACTCAAAAAACGTAAAGCCTGTGCTGATATGGGGACGAGTTCGGGGGCTTCGCTTGAGGAGT